TCTTCATTGTCTGATGTTCTATCTTCTAAGTGTTCTACTCTGCTGGTAGTATTCTCCATTGAGTTTTTAAGTTGGTTTATTGCTTCCTGCATTTCTAGGATTTCTGTTTGTTTGTTTTTTATAACCTCTATCTCCCTGTATAGTTGATCCTTTGCTTCCTGGATTTGTTTGTGTAATTCATTGTCGAAGTGATCTTTCATTGTCTGATTTTGCTGTCTAATGTCTTCCTTGATACTCCAGATCATCTGAAGCATGTATATCCTGAATTCTTTATCTGACATTCCATCTGCTGCAGCTGTTACCTCTTCTAAAGTTGAGTTGACCTGCATTGCTTGTGGTCCTTTCTTTCCTTGTCTTTTCATACTGCTTGCGTTTCTTTCTGCTTGGTGAAACTGTTGTGTTTTTAAAATTTTTTTTCCCCTATATATTTATATTGCTCTTGTATAGTTGAAAAGTCTCCCTTGCAGGGTCGGGCGGCAGTTTGCCTACCTTGCAGGCGCAGGCGGCGGCTCTGCTCTCTCCTTACTCCAATTGGAGTGTCGTGACTACCACACCGGCAGGTCACTGGGCCTGTTCCGGGCGCGGGCGGCGGCTCTGTTCTGCCCCACTCCAATGGGGGTGACGAGTGTACCACGCCGGCAGGCCACTGGGCCTGATCCGCCAGTCGGTTGCAGGTCTGCCTACCCTGCAGGCGCGGGCGGCGGCTCTGCTCTGCCCCCCCTCCAATTGGTGTGACTTGTCTACCACACCCGCGGGCCGCTGGGCCTGTTCCGGGCGCGGGCAAAGGGTCTGTTCTGTTCCTACTCCAATTGGGGTGACGTGCCTACCACCCCGGCCGGCCGCTGGGTCTGTTCCACCGGTCGGTTGCAGGTCTGCCTACCTTGCGGGCACGGGCGGCGGCTCTGCTCTGCCCCTACTCCAAATGGGGTGACGTGTCTGTCGCACCGGCAGGCCACTGGGCCTGTCCCTCTGGTCGGTCGCAGGTCTGCCCACCTTTCGGGCACGGGTGGTGGCTCTGCTCTGCCCCTACTCCAATTGGGGTGTCGTGACTACCCCGCCGGCAGGTCGCTGGGCCTGTTCCTGGCACGGGCGGCGACTCTGCTCTGCCCCTACTCCAATTGGGGTGACATGTGTACCACGCCGGCAGGCTCCTGGGCCTGATCCACCAGTCTGTCGCAGGTCTGCCTACCTTGCAGGCGCGGGCGGCGGCTCTGCCCCGCCCCTCCTACCACGCCTGCAGACCGCTGGGCCTGATCTGCAGGTTGGTCGCAGGTCTGCTCACCCTGTGGGCACGGGTGGCGGTTCCGCTCCGCCCCCACTCCAATTGGGGTCACGTGACCACCACACCGGCGGGGCCTGATCCGGGCGCGGGCGAAGGCTCTGCTCTGCCCCTACTCCAGTTGGGGTGACGTGTATACCACGCTGGCAGGCCGCTGGGCCTGACCCGCCAGTCTGTCGCAGGTCTGCTGACCTTGCAGGCGTGGGCGGCGGCTCTGCCCTGCCCCTCCTACCACGCCCGTGTACCACTGGGTCGCGGGTCTGCCCACCTTGCGGGCACGGGTGGCGGCTCCGCTCCGCCCCCTCTCCAATTGGGGTCACACGACCACCACGCCAGCGAGCCGCTGGGCCTGCTCCGGGCGCGGGCGGCAGCCCGGCTCCTCCCCTCTGGCTCGACGACAAATCGAGAGAGACTCGGGTGTCTGTGCCTCACCCTCCCTACCAGGAGACCAACTGTTTCTGTCGCTGCTGGTATTGATGAAGTTCTCTCCTCCGCCGCTTTCTGATGACATCAGATCTCTGCCATGTTGGTATCCTATGCGAATGGCAGCATTTCGTTCCCTTTGCCGGGTAACCAAAGCAACGGGTGATTCCTGACCGGCCCTCAGCAGGACCCGGACCAAGAAGCAGTTTCCGCGGGCTCCTTAGCCCTGGGCCAGGGCAGCTCTGGGAGCCGGAACTCGGCCGCTCCGTGCTCGGTGTATGCTCTGATAAGAGCAGGCTCCAAGAAGCACTCAGGCACTGAGCCTGAGTAATCTGTCTGCAAGCCGCAGGCGAATGGCAGCCTGAAATTACCTGTTCTATGGATGAATGAGCTGCGGTCAGTCGAAAACAGGGATGGTGACGTCAGCTCTCCAAGATGGTGTCCGCTGGCCTCCTCTGTGGTCTGACTGGTGTGGAGAACCGAAATGGACCGCTTCCTTCCCCCGTCTCGAACCCAGAATTCAGCACTGAGTACGGTGCTTGCACGGCTGGCAGAAACTGCAGCGTTGTATCCCTGCGCCGCTATCTCATTTCCCAGCGCGCGTTGCAGACTCTAGCCGCGGGGCGATTTGCTGAATAAGCAGTGTTACCCTCCGTGCGACAAATCTCTCGCGTTTGAGTCCCCGTAGCCGATCCTTGTGCGATGGAAATCCTTCCTCCAGGTTCCGGAGCACCCCACTATTGCTGGAAATTCCTAACAAGATAGCCTTTAGCCGTCCTGACTCGTCATACTCCCACACAGTGACGTGGCACACGGGGGCAATGCACTCCCCTCGCCGCCATCTTCTTCCTCCCCCCTCATTATTTTACTCTTGCTATCTTAAATAGTTCTTTTCAACACAGAAGAGATAATCATTTGATATTTTGCTGAGTTTCATTTATAAGTATTAACTTTTCTGAGTAATTTAAAATATATAAGGAAAATTGGATGTAATCTTTATTCTTAAGGAAATCATACACTGGATGAGAAGTTAAGTCACATACATAAACAACTATAAAACATGGAAATGGGAAAAAAGGCCATAAGAATAGCACAGAGGCCTGACAAAGTTCAGAGGACAAGAGGGAGATGATTTATTTCTAGGGGAAAAATTTAGGAAGAAAGTATTTTCCAACTGGGCTTTGAGGATGGATGAACTTTTTATTGGTGATGGTATGGGTGTACCCACTGCTTCTGAGGAGCTGAGTGTGATGGTGCACACCTGTAATCTCTGTGAGGCAGGAGGATTTGCAAGTTTAAGGACAGCCTATGCAACTTAATAAGACCCTATCTCAAAACAAAAATAAATTAAATTAAAAGAAAAAGAAAAAAAGACTGTTTCTGAGGAATTGGTAGCAAAAACACAGGTATGAAGGTAGAATAATGTAATGTATCTATTGCAAACAGTAAGGTTTTCTAGATTTTGAAGGAGTAAAACAGACCAAAAAAAATGTAGATTGGGGCAAAAAATGGAGGAGATAGCACTCCAAACTAAGGTTCCATTGTATTCATTAATTAAGATGGCATAACATTCAGCAAAATGGTTAAGAGAGTTCTCAAATAAAACTGCCTGAATTCTAATTCTGTTCCTACTACATCCTGCCTACATGACCTTGGGCAACTTAATTGACTGTCTCAGTTTCCTCATCCATAAAATAAGAGAACTGCCACAAAGATTAAGTGCCGTAGTTTATGCAAAGCGTGCTTAGCACACTGTGTGTGCTCAGTAAATGTTGGGTCCTATTCTTGGTACTTATTAACTATGTGGAACTAGTAAAATTGGAACAAAAAAATTGACATAATCAAAAATATTCTAAAAAAGATTATTCTGACAGAACTATGCAAGACACTGCTGGCATAGAAACTATTAGAAAATTTTGTAACAGCTGAGTATTGATCTAGGTCTTAGTTGGGGTAATGGCAATAGAAATAGAAAAGAAGGGATGAATTAAACACAAAGGTAGAGGAGCAAAAGGGAAAAATAGTCATGATTTGGTGTTTGGACAATGTACAGAGAAAAAGCAGAGTCAAGGATCCCTCCAGGCTTCTACACAAAGGACAGTGAGACTTGTGACCTTTGGAAAAACCAGAATGAAAGATCAGAACTAGCTAATTGCTGAACAGCACTTTGTATCTATTCTGGCAACTTTAATTGTTGCTTCTTGTGAGATGCTGGGAGATGCCCTCCAAATGAGAAGGTTCTGCAGGAGCAGCAAGAATGACCTTGGCCTTGGGAGAGAGGTCAGGGTACATGTCAAGATGTGGGAGCCCTCAGGATACAGGAACCCTGGGAAGAGTTGAAGGGAGTAAGCAAGAGCATTCTTTGTGGGATGAAGAAACCTGGAACATCCTGGTCCCTCAAAAACATATGCTCAAAATTGACTGAGGGGTGAACTCTGAGCTAATGTGTCCACCTCACCTTTTGTTGCACTGTATCCATGTGTCTTTGTCTTTCCCACAGTTTCCCTTCTCAGTCCCCTCGATGTTCAGTTTCTCATAGCAGTATTTGTCTGATGCTGTCACCTCTGAAGCAGAACAGAATTTTCTATCAGTGAGGGAGGCAACATATGAGCTGTTCAAAATGTTTGCAGTGAAGGAAAACTGAAAGTTAAAGACTCTTCAGTGTTGTCACACTATAATCAAAAACTGTACCCATGGCCTACAAGACTTCTCCTATATCAGACATCCTTGGTTCAGGTGCATTTTTCATGAATGCTCATTTGAAATTTGGGAAACAAATATACTTAGATATCTAATGGGATTTAGGCTTAAGACTACAAGAACACTCTTTAGGATATGGCTAATAATTACAGGACAACGCTACCAAATGTTTGCTTGAATAAATTCTTGATGCTGTAATCTCCTTGCCAAATATAATGCATGAATTTCTCACTCAGAAAACTATTCATCAAAAAGTCAATTTTACTAAAATTGACTATAATTAGATTCAAGAAACAGCAGTCCAATTTCTACTATGCTTACTCATTATTAACAGCCATCAGGGAAAAAAAAATCTCAGTTTATTGCTTTTAGGTGAGACTGAATTCATACAAAATCTGAGAGTCAAATATCATTTTAAAGTATGTCAGCATTTTTTGTCAAGTTTGTATCTTTTCTAAAACAAGGGTGAGTTGATGAAGTTATCTGAATTAGAGAAATATGACTTGAAAACTAATCAAAAGATAACTCATTGGTACAAGTTGAGCATCCATAATCCAAAAATCTAAAATCTAAAATGCTAAGCAAGTGGTCTAGTACTGGGCTACATCCCAAACTTCCCTAGATTCTGAATCTTTTTGAGTGCCAACATGATACAACAAGTGGAAAAGTTCACCTTGATCTCTGTCACAAGTCATAGTCAAAATACAAGTATATGTCATACACATACTATATAATACGACAAAGGCACATAGTAAATAAAATTACCTTCAGGTTATATGCAGAAGGGGCATATGAAACATAAATGAATTTTGTGTTTAGACGTGGGTCTCATTCCCTAGATATTTCACTATCTACATGCAAACATTACTAAACCAGAAAAACATTTAAAATCTGAAACACTTCTGGTAATAAGAATTTCAGATAAGGGATACTCAACTTTATATACTAAACAACAAATAATTATGTAGGTAGTTTCTTTTCCTACTTTTCATTGTCATCTACTATTTTTGCTGAAGTGGAGGAAACAAAGTGTATCTCTTTGCTTAAAGTATAAACTTGCATGACAAAATTTCTTCCCATCTCAGTGAATCAGTAACTCAAAAGAGCATACATTTCCCCTCTTAATAGGACTGTAGTGACTACCTATTACATCTAACAATGCTCATTATTTTTATAGCTTTTTTTTTTCCGGATGCAAATTGCCTTCTGAAAGAGTTTACAACAAAAATTGCTTCCAAAAGTATGGGTCAGTAACACTTCTAGAAAAAGTATATATACAACATTAAATATAAATTTAATTACAGTATAACTTAAATAATATAAAAATATAATTGTTATATATTTTCCTCTGAAACTGACAAATGTTGAAGAGATTAATGATAAAACGTCTTTCTGATACATAAGAGCAACCTCAGCAGAAGGTCACCTGTAACTAGGAAAACCAGCTAGAGCTTAAGAAATATAATTAAGGAAGAAGAAGCAACTCTAGCCAAAATGTTTAGTGCTTTCATTTTTAACAATCACATCTGATAATACACCTGGTCCCTTGAAGCCAACTATATGTAAAAACAGACGAATAAGAGAATGTGAGAGGAAATACAACAATGGGTGTACTTTCCCCAAGGTTCTAAGTCAAGGATGGCCTATCCAGGATCCATGGCCATCCCATATGGTTATACAAGTTTTGTTAGGGCACTCCACTGAGGAGCTGAAATCAAGGTCTGTTCTATTCTCCAAGCTGTGCGCCCTGGCATCTCTTCGCCTGCCTGGCAGCAAAAGCACCTTCTGTCTCTGTCTCGTCCACAGGCGCTGCCAGCTAGCCAGGAAGTGTGCAGTCATGTCTTCTCAAAGGAGGTGTCTTTCTCTAATTTCCAGAAAAGTGCCCACGCTAACACCTGTCATAGCTTTGAATGTCCCCCAGTCATAAAGTAAAAAAAAATTTGCTTCCAACCCACATGTCCCTATAAAGTCTTCCTGACATCCTACTTTAAAAATGATCAACCCTTATAATTATTATGCACCAATAAAAATATTTTTGAAATAATTATCAAGCCACACTGATTACTTACTTTGTCCCCAGATATATTTGCATTGTCTATCCCTGGTTTTACATCTTCCTCCAAAGCAAATTCCCTAAAATGGAAAAGCAAATACCCATTAGCAATGCAATGTCTGTTTATGTCAGAAAACTGACAGAAAAGGAAATACGACTAGGAAAAACAGCAGATAGGTATTATAAAGCCCTTTTATCTTCAGAATTGATTATGAAACTTTTTAAATGATATTCCTATTTTGACAATATCTCAGTATTTCTTTCATGTTGGTGCCACATGAAAAATTTAGATAAAAGTGAAAATGGCCTACCTGAGTACCATCACATGAATATCCATCCATCTTATGAATATTAGGGGCACACTAGGAAAAGAGAACAAACTATGAACCAAACACAGAGCAAAATATCAGGCTGAGCTAATCAGTTTAGTGTTTGCATTTTAAAAATCACATTTGATAATACATTTGGTCCCTTGAAACATCTATATACAAAAATAGAAGAATAAGAGAATGCAAGAGAAAATACAACAACTGGTACACTTTCTCCTAAAAATGGGATTCTATAATAGGCAAATACAGTTGATTACATAGAAGCAAATAGAAATAACTGACTGCAGTAGGCTCAGTGAATGACATATTAAGAGATATGTTTCATACAGATCACTATTCCTCTGAGCAAGAAAAGAAAGAACACAAAGCAAAAAATAGCCCAACTTGTTTCCTTTCTTCTGCCATGAGAAGCAATGCGGACCCTTCGCTTCAGGCAATAACTTTCAACTAGAAGTCTGCTTCTAGAATTAATGCTAAAAAAGACATGGCTTATATATTATATTTAATACTTAAATTAATAAAAATAATATTAAATTATTTTACAATTAATTAATTATATTTTCTTGAAGCAACTAGAAAATTATAGAGCATTTTGTCAGGCTATAAACAAACAGTAATTTTAAAATGTATTACTACAATGATAGAAAAATGTCTAATTACATAGTAATTTGGGAAAAAATTGGAAAATGTGAAAAAAGGAGGAAAAAAAAGAGAGGTCCATCACATTTCACCATTCAAAATTGCTATTTTTTATATTTTAGTATAATTTATCTCTACCTTTTTCTATAAAAATTGATTTTTAAACATAAGATGGTCAAATTATAGATAATAATTTTTTATTTTTTTTTAGTTGTAGATGGACACGATAGCTTTATTTATTTTTTGTGGTGCTGAAGATCAAACCCAGTGCCTCACAGGTGCCAGGCAGATGCTCTACCACTGAGCCATAATCCCAGCTCAAATTATAGATAATATTTTACATTTTGCTTCTTTGCTTTATTTTTGTCATATAAACTTCCTATCAAAGTGAACTTTTTTATAGCTACCGTCTTTAATAAACATAATGCATTGCTTTAAGCTAACAATGTAATACAATGATCACTTATAGTTATATCCAATTAATTTTGACAGTTAAAACTAATGCAAAAGAGCATTTTTGTACAGACATCATTTTTAGACTTTTGATTCTTTTAAAATTTATGCTTTTTATTTAATCACAATGTTTATATATATATATATGCCATGCTGATAATTATTTATTCATTGAGTCATCATCATCATTAAGTATTAACTTAGAAAACCCCACTGATTAGAAAGAATGGAACAATACTTTTATATAGAGATCTTTAATCTCTTTGTATGATTCCTTTAAAATAAATCATTTTTAATGATTAATGTAAGTTTACCACTATGATATCTTCTTATCTGGAGAAAAATTAAATGTGGGCAGTCTTGACTCAACTATACATGAATTTCAGTTTCTCTGTTTTTGTCCCCCAATCAACCTCCCACACAACATGGTTTCAATTTCAGTTATCACACCATATTAATGTGAGTAATTGCATAAAACACAAACTTTGCTATTAGCTCTTCAGTCAGCTGGTCACTGTGCAAATAACAGATATCCATCATGACCAGTGACCCATTCTGTCTCTTCTTTTAAATCTCTATCAGTGATTGTCACCAACCATCTGCTTGTTCAATTCACAGACAGCAAAGTGTGTAGTTGTGCTGTCTCTTTGACTTAGTAATATCATGTGGCATTTGAAAAAATGGATCATCAAAAGAGGGAATTGGCCAACAAAGATGAAAATATAGCCAAGAAATGACACCAGAAGTGAAATTCAAATTGAATGTAAATGGAGTTACAGAAAAAAAAACCCAGCTAACTGTGGGGATGACTATTGCTCAGGAGATTCTAGATATGCAGCCTGAGAAACCTAGTGAAGGAACTCACTGGCATAAATGAAGTGGGCACGACCTAACAGGTGAAGAAGTGACACTGACAAGACACTCAATATGCATGGCTTCACATCCCTCAAGAGATATTTAATTACATTGAAAGCACAGAGGGTAAGACATTGAAAGCAGATTCAAACTTAGAAAGGAGTATGACAAGGTACAGAATAATGCTTACTCTGTATCGTAAAATTCACAAGGAGCAGCAGCAGGCACAGTTCAAACTACACCTCATGAGTTTTGTATAAAGAAATATAATACTTTAACTCTCAATGTTTCTGTTTTAATTTACAGTATGCTATATAAACACCAGTTAATATTTTTCATTTCCCTGTGCATTTAACACTATCAGTAAGAGAGTTTTGCCAGAATCTTTTAAAGATGACAGAACAACTGTATTTTCCATTAATCCTTACAACTGTGTTGCATGGTTTCAATTTGCATGGTCATTTTTACAGTTCAGCATAATTGTGCAAAGTGAGAACTGTTCATTTTTAAATCTGTGAACCTGCATCACAGATTGCAATTTCCCCAGCATGTCTATCTACAAATAAACACTATTAAATTCAAGGATAACTGTTAATGTTGGAGGTGATGTACTATATCAGAAATGTAAGAGATAAGAGAGAGAAAAGGGTCTCCTCTCAGAACCCAGTGCTCTAGGGATCTCTCTGCCTCAGCTGGCTCCTTTTTCAGTCAGCTGAAGAGAGGGCCTTTTGTTTTTTTCTTTCCTAGACAGATAAAAAGAAAATGCCATTCACTCCCTGCTTAATATAAAAAACAAAATACTTAAGGCAGCATATCATCTTAGGTGAATTCAACATTAAAACAAGATTATGCTGACCATCTGCTCAAGATTTGATTACTAAAACTTAAATTTCTAAAAAATTAAAAAGAAAGTGAGAGGAGATATGAAAGAGACACGCATTTTGTCCATGTACATTTCTCCTAAGGGTCGAGTGCACTAAAGATACCCCTATTTTTTCCACTATGGTTTAGAGTAACTATTTTGCAGATTACCTGGCTTGAATTTCCTGAGCATGTTTCAGAAATATCACAATCGTTCACTGCTTCTCGGCACACAGTCCCCATAGGCTGAAACTAAAATGAACAAAAATCGATGTGAAAGACTAGAAGGAACAAAAGCTCTCACAGTATCATCTTAAAAAAGCAAAATGAAAAATGTTTGGATAGGAATACCTTTAGCTATTTTAAAATCATAGTGTGTGAAAATTGCAGTTATTGAACAAAATGCTTTTTTAATAGTTTTAAGTAACAGTTTCTTGTATATGAAGTAACTTCCACATTCATCACACGTAAGTCTCATAATATCTTGTTAAAATGCTAAAATTGGACAAGGCTTGATGGTATGTCTCCACAAGAATGCTTGGCTTGTCCAAGCTCTTGTAATCTTTCTTGCAAGGAGGTTTTAAGCTTTTTAGGCTTTATCCTTCTTTCTTATTCACACCTTTATCACATAACTTTTTATTTTTATTTTTTGGTCTCTCTTATCTGCCAAGATTGGAAAAGCTACATTTGGGGCTGAATCACAAAAGTTAGGTTTTCTGGCAAAGCCATATCCTCCCAAGCTTTCTCTTCCCTTCTTTTCCAGTGCCTCATTATGCAAAGATTTAAATCTTGGTTATTTACTTGTTCTTAATGTTCCTATTATTGGTGCCTATGGATCGGAATCTGGAGTTCAAGGGTTTGTTGGTTGGTTGGTTGGTTTTTTTTGTTTGTTTGTTTTGGGTTTTTTTTTTTTTTCAATCAGTGGAAATACTTCTTGGAAGTATGCATTTGAACAAATAAATGTTTAACCCCATTGGATTTACAAAGTGCAGGAATACTCATGGTAACAAAATTGAGCAGAAATAAATAAAGCTATACTTCTCCTTTCCTCTCCAATGCCTCTCTTTTCCCTCTCTAAAACACTGACATTTGGGGCTGGATTCTTCTGTGCTTTGCTCTTTGTTTGTACAAACAAACTTATTATCAGGCTTCCCTGACTTCTGTGCAAACCACACTTTCTTCCCTCATTCAGAACCCTCCTGGCACTTGAGTCTCCTCTGCTTCTAGATCATGTGCAGCCAACCAGCTCCAATCAGGATTTTAAAAGATAGTTTTAGATGACTCAAACAAAATTTGTGCTCAATTCAACAAGGATTTACTAAGCACTTAAGATGTGCCAGGCACTGTTATCGTTGCTGGAGATTCAGTGGAATACAAAACACAAAAACTCTGCTCACAAAAACCCTGCATTTTAGTGGGGGTAAATGGGTCATAAAAATAAGGAAATGAGCAAAATAATTTAATTTTACATGTCTGATTCTCTTCTTTCTCAAAATTGGGGCAAGCCAATTAGAAAGCAGAAATATGTGCAGATGTGTGGTACAGTTTAGATGAGACTACAAACATTCAAGAATTTCCAAGAAACTTTAGAAAAAAAAGCACAGTAAAGGAAGATTTGCTCTAAGTGCTGGGATACAGCAGTAAATAAATCAACCAAAATTCCTGCTGTACTAGAGCTTACAATGGGAGGAGGGAAATAATAACCAAGTAAGCAAGACCTATCTTTCTGCAGAGGTCCACAAATTATGGCCTGAAGGCCAAATTGGCTGACTACCTAACCTTACAAATAAGTCTTACTGGAATACAGCCACACACATTATTTCTGCATTTTCAATGGCTGCTTTCAAAGGCAGAGCTGAGTAATTGTGATGCTTTATGAAAACCTATTTACTATATAGTCCTTGATAGGAACTGTTTGCCAACCCTCGGCTTATACATTATTTTATATAAGTTATATACATTATAATATACACACACACATATATATTATAATGTATAATATATATGTATGTATGTGTGTGTGTATATATATATATATAGAGAGAGAGAGAGAGAGAGAGAAAAGATATATACAACTTCTCATCTTGATCCTCTCTTCCCCCTCCTCCATTTACTATCCTGCCTCTGGATCCCCAGGGTAGGGTGAAGGGAGTTTTGGGGTAGAGAAAGTGGCAAGAATGATTTCACTCGACTGGTATACTATATTGTAGTACAGTAATTAATTGTGTCATTATATTTTAGGTAGGTTATTATTCTATACTTGTTCCTTGTAATGAGTCTATCACAAAGAGCCTCATTCTGTATGCCAAAGGGGGAAAAAAGATACAATTACACGTATTTAACAGATGGGCAGACATTTATTTAATCAAAGATTAAAATAAATGATTCAGGATCCCTTGTTATAGCAGTTGGAGGAGCTGACAGAGCAAGCAATTGTGGTCGCCAAAATGAAAGAATGTCTGTTTCACATTTGGTTGAATCTTCCTTTTTTAGAGATTGCTTTCAGAGATCTCTGCCAGTGCCGTGCTTGTCTTAAAAAGCTGCCAGAAGACACAGCAGTGCCATGGGAACAACAGAAACTGCTGCCAGCAGATGTGGGATGGAAGGGCTGCCAGCAGATCTGGATGTGATTGCTTATCCCTTCCTTACGAGCTGAGTGGGCCCCTGCAGGTGACTTAACTTCCTTGGAACTTGGATTGCTCGATTATAAAGATCAGGATAATAATGCCTATCCCCAAAGTGTGCTTGTGTGCATTCTCTAAGACACTGGTCTCAACCAGGGGTGATTATGTCCCCAAGGGTATATTTGGCAATGTCTGGAGACATTCTTAGTTGTCATTCTTGGGAAGATTGCTTCTCACATCTAATGGGTAGAACCTCAGGATGCTGCTAAACATCCTGCAATGCACAAGACACACTCTTACAACAAAGATTTATCCAGCCAAGGATGTCAATGATACCAGAGTAGAGAAATTCAGATGTAGGGTGATAATAAATTCAAAGTACTTAACACAATCTCTGGCACACAGTGGAGACTTACTGTGATAGCTTTATATCTCACCTTCCTTTAACTCATTAAAGATATTCAATCTGCAAATAATCACAAAGAGAGTGCTGTGCCTATTTATTTATTTGTTCAACAGATATTTATTAAGAACCTATAACAACAATGGTGTAAATGCTTGGCTCTGCTCCAAAAAATGTACAAACTGGAGACAGATATTAAACCTCAGACATAATACAGAATATTATATCAGATATCATATGAGATAAGAAAAAATAATTTCATTTCTTTGGGAAAAGTAAGCCCCAAATTGTGGGTCTTGATGTAAAGAATTAAATACTTAGAGACAGGGATGAGGATGATATTGGGAAGACGAACTCAGACAAAGTGTATAAAAATGCATTCTCAATTTCCATGTACAATAAACTACGTAAGGTATTATCATGCCTGAAGTATTCCTTTCACTCCCTCAACAGCTAATGCAAGAGATATAGCTGGGCACAGTAATGCACATCTATAATCCCAGCTATTCAGGAGGATAAGGCAGGCAGATCATGAGTTAGAGGACAGCCTAGGCAACTTAGGGAATTCCTGTCTCAAAATAAAAAACAAAAAGGGTATAGCTCAGTGGTACAGCACCACTGGGTTTAATCCTCAGTGCTCCCCATAAAAACATGAGAAGGAGGAGGAAGAAGAACAGGAAAAGGAAGAAGATAAAGGAGAGGAGGAAGAGGAAAAGAAGTAGGAGTGGAGACGGAAGAAAATAAGAGGAGGGAGGAGGGAGGAAGAGTGGGAAAAGGAGGAGGAGGAGGAGGAGGAAAGATATATCTGAGTGAGAAGAAAAGGAGGATCTCTTGAATGCCTACTTGGCTTTCCAAAGAAATGTAGGCATATTCAAAGATAAGTAACACCTAGTTTCATTTACTGTCCCTGCTCCTCAGGGAGGTTGTAGAGAAAACAGCCTTGGGATGAGCATGTTCAGCAAGAACCCTGACTTACTTGGTGTCAGACCTTGGGAAAACTACCATTAGAAGGGAAAGATGTTAACTACACCTCACAAGATTCTATGAGGGTCCTGTAAGCATCTGGCATTTAGTCATTAACTATGTGTTAGATAGTGTGATTATTAGGTGCGATTTACCCAGCCTTAGCAATTAATCACATGTGTCCTTCCTTCTGTCCATTCGTCATTAAGCAGCATTCATTACCTTGCACTTTTTACAACAGAGACCATCACTGCATTGAGAGTCCTGAGTCAAGGTGCATTTCTTACAACACTCTGCTCCTTCAAGGACACATTCCTAAGGAACATAAACATTTGCCAAACATCAGAAAACAACATCATTTCCTAAAAAGTAGCAGCATGTTTCCTAAAATAAATATAAAAGCTCACAATAATCTCTCATCCACAAATACTACACAATTTCTAGGCATAATACTTGCTCTGTTAAGTCTCAATGTGTGTGGACCAGGAACAACCCTGAGTCACTTGCAAACCATCTTCAAAAGCACCAGAGACTTACTGTAGGGGTTCCACAGTCACACTCTTCTCCAGTTTCAATGAAGCCATTGCCACACTCAGGAGGGTCGAGCAGCTATGGAAGGAAAACAAAAAAAGGGAACTAAAACATAGAAAAGTCAACAGCAAAGACTTCGAGAGACCTGAGCACTACACCCACACCTCTGCATACCTGCCAGTCATCCCAAATATATATTTATTTAGCTAAACTAGAAAGCATGGTTTTTTATAACTTATAACTTTAGAAGTGTCTCCTCCTGTTTCCATTTCATATTTAATATGTGTATATACTTTACAAATATTTATATAACATACATACCAAGTAGCATCTGGTAAAAGTCACCAAAATAAAAGATGATCTAGTCATTGACTAAAACTAAGACTGACTGACCCCTGAAATTCCATTGCAGTCAGGAAGTAAGGGGTTTGGAGTCAGAACATCTGTCATATTGGCACATGGCTGGAGAATAGCTCAGTGGTAGCACATAATGCCTGGCACAAATCAGGCCCTGGGTTCAGTCCCCAGGATCAAAATAAAATGAAATAAAAGCTTGGAACAATTACTTAACATCTCAGAGACTTTACTATGTTAAACAGGAATAATAATATTTGTGGGGAGCTGCTATGAATGATTCACATCTTCCATCCTGGAGCGGAGATGCTTTGACCGTCACTACATCTTGTAGTGACCTGGACATTGCCCCAGTCCCAGAAGTTGAGGGCACCTCTTAAGAGGTAGGCAAGACACCCCATAGCCCCTTGGGTGGAATTACACCCACCTGTCCTTTGTAACCCTGCTCCTTCTGAACTTTTTTGGATAGAACTTTCTAAGAATAAGGTTCTCCCCAATAAAAGCCCATTTCCGTGTCACGCTCTCTCTGGCTAGCCTCTGGTGACTTTCTCTTGCTCTCCCATTTGGAGAGCCTGAAGCCGAGAGCGGAGAAGCTGTCCTGAAGCTTGCTTAAAGGTAAAGTGTGTGTCTATGGTTTATTTGGTGTCCCTGGAAATTCACAGGAACGACCTTAAGTTCAGCTGCCTACACGGGTTGGGGGCAGCAAATATTAACTGTTCATCAAATTAATCAGCTGTCCAAAAGTTTTCTGAAAATAAAATTTAATCATCTGAAAAGCCCTTTATTAATCATCTTTTCCTCCAAGTTACTTCATCAACAACAAGAAAAGTATCACAAAGTTAATATACCCACTGAACTATTCAATATAAAATATAGCTCCTACTATTAGTATATAGCTTTGCAGAGAAAAGCAATAATAATTTGCCTCAGATATTAAAGCAACTTTTGGACTATCCAGGAGTACGTTTTAGGTCAGTTTTATTTTTTAACTCTCTATCAATTTTATTACCTTTCAAATACAATTTATCCTATGGTGATAGGCAGTTGGTAAATAATGACTAATTACTATTAGCTAGGAACATAATATTCATTAAAAAGTTAACTAAAGTTGCCAGGCAAAGGGGCACCTGCCTGTAATCCCAGCAACTCAGAAGACGGAGGCAGGAGAATCACAAATTGAAGACCAGCCTTAACAACTTAGGGAAACCAGTCTCAAAATTTAAAAAGAGTTTGGGGATATTGTTTGGTGGTAAAGTGTTTTCCTAGCATGCACAAGGCCCTGGATTCAATCCCCAGTACTGAAGAGAAAAAGCAAAAAGGGCTGGGAATGTGGCTCAGTGGTAGAGTACCCCTCGATTCAATCCCATACCACAAAAAAGAAAAAGTTAATCAAGGTGTTCAGACTATAAAATGGAAGTGTACACACAACTGTCAACACACACACACACACACACACACACACACACACACAAACTAACTAGAATAAAAACTCAAAGCAAGATAAAGAAAACATAAAAAAAAAAAGAACTCATTTCTGCTGTTATCATCAGAATAGGCCAAAATGCCCAATATTAAAGTTGATTTTGAAAATATAGACAGACATTTTAGCATATCTAGATACGTACATCTAGGCCAAATTGAAAAGCTCTCTTTTATACACCCAAGGGCTAAACTAATGGTGTGTATGAGCATGTAGAAAGATTAATCATTAACATCTCTGCTCACATTATTACCTTGGAAGGCTTGTTGAACAGGCAGGCGCCACCCCCACTGTTCAGGAAGTCATGATACTCTTCAATGTTACACTGGGTGAACTTTTTAGGAAGATAATAGCTGTGGGAGAGAAGAAAATCAATACTGGGATGCAATGTGAGTCTCCCTTGCTTGTTCATTAGTCTTAAAATTGAACACTGTTAAAATTATACATTATTCTTTCAAGATGAAAGAATAAATTCCTCTTAGGTACAACATTTTTATTCAACCTACAAGAATTTTTATTCAACCAGTATATTTCTAAATTCTTCATTCAGTCACTAATGGTGACAAGATAGTAATGGTTCATTACTTGTATATGCAATCAAAGGAAACACATATAGCAGCAACTATAATTTAAATAAGAGAGAGTTAGAAAAAAATATTTCATAGTCTTAAATACTAAATCTGGGCTGGAATCCAAACAACAGAGAACTCTACAAAATAATTGACCTATAACTTATAAATGTGTCAGGTCATAAAAGTCAAAGACTGAGGAACTACTGCAGACTGAAGGAAGCTAAAAAGACATAAAAATAAATGTGATACCTCACTCTGAATCCTTTACTATAAAAGACACTATTGACATATAGGCCATTCTTGAATGAGGGCTAAGACTCAGATGATTTTACTGGCTAGGTTGTAGGAGGATGTTCTTGTCATAGGAAATGTACCCTTAGTATCTGAGGGTAAGAGGGCACAGATTGGCAATTTATGATTCAAGGAACCAAAAGGATCTTTGTTATTCATCTTGCAACTTTTTTCAAGTTTCAAATTGTTTTAAAAAATTCATGCCAGAATAAAAAGTAATAAAGGGCAAAGAGAAAAAAGAAACCTGGTCAGACACCTTCAAAATGAGCACAAATGCCCTTAGATCTAGTAATTCAGCTTTTCAGAAAATTTTTCTTAAGAAATAACTTGCTATGTACACTAGGATATATAAACACAGATATTTGTGGTAGCATATAACATAAAAATAACCCAAATATTTAATAGTAGGAGAGCAATTAGCTGAACTGTGATATGTGGATAAAATAGAATAACATGAAATGAATTAATAATCATAGTAATAAAAAATAGTTAGACTCGGAAAAATGCTGACTATATAATGTTAAGTTAAAAAAAGTGAATAAACATTATATGACCAACAGGAACAAGATTTTATAAAACAACAATAAAAATGAAAAAAGAAGAATATGAGTTAAAATATACTAGCATTTTAATATCAACATGGTTATCATTGGAGAAAAAAATAAGAATTTTATTTTCTATATTTCTCTAAAACTGTTTTGCTTTGATCTTTATGAAAGTGAAAAACTAAGATAATAATGAATGGTTTTTATAAAGTCTTTCCTGCTAGCCCGCAAGGACAGTGTCCATTTATAACCATACCTCTGTCTAGCACAGTGGTTAATGTTTCATACATTATAATGGAATTTATAATGATTATTTAGGCTAAACTCATTTTTTTTAAGTATTTCATGCCAAATTCTCCAAATAAAGCTGTCTTGAGTATAAGTTATCTAACTATTCTGTTTCTGGCCATGCTTTTTTCCTAATAAGACACAGACTTCATTCTTTTTTTTTTTTTTTTTTAAGAGAGAGAGAGAGAGAGAGAGAGTATTTTAATATTTATTTTTTAGTTATCGGCGGACACAACATCGTTGTATGTGGTGCTGAGGATCGAACCCGGGCCGCACGCATGCCAGGCGAGCGCGCTACCGCTTGAGCCACATCCTAGCCCCACAGACTTCATTCTTAATTTTAAAAGTTTCTTTCATATATTATTCCTTTTCTTCAATGCCTGCCTCGTTAAGTTCTTATCACCTTCCCTACTAATCCATCCAACACATCCTGCCACAGTTATCAAATGTAAACAGAGCTATCTCCAAGTTCCTTTTTCATTCAATTGGTCAAAACTTGAGAAAGTTCTCTACTACTGAAGTAAAAAGTCCAACTTTTAGGACTCTTAGAAGTCAAAGTCTAGTTCTACCTCTGCCCTGCCAGGATGCCTACAGCTGCCACAGCCCAGCCCATCCTCCTCCACCCCTCACAGTGGGGAGCTCAGTCATTACCCGATAACTGGGGAGTTAGAAAATCATTCCTTTACAGGGAAGCTCTTTATATATGGATACTTGAAGTGTATAAATTGCTCTTACCCTTTATCTTTGACACATCCAACTTCTCATAACTTTCACACACAATTCTGTATTCTTAACTGTACGAAATAGACATTAATTCCTCTACCATTATAATATAACCCTTCATGCATCTGAAGGCAAATATGTCTTTCCCCTATCTCTGCCCTCAAACTTCTGTTTTACAAGGTTGTATATCTATTATATTCCACCATTATTAAAATTTTAGTTTTTATATCTTAAATAGAAACTGATGGTATTCATTTCAACCATGGTTTCCAATATTTAGCAATATAGAGGAACTTCAGACAGCAAAAATGGAAGGGATATACTCATGGGAACTATACATCCATAATTAGTAATGTTGGGTGATACTTGGCATAGATCAAATTTATAGAGTCATATCAGATAATATTTTTATATAAAGGATTTTTCTCTTGCTTACATCTACTTAATGTAGGAAGATTTTCAATTCAAAGAGCTATACATATCTGAAGGTAACGATTTGATTTTTTTTGGTTGGGGGGTAGGGGGCTGTACCAGGGATTGCACCCAGGGGCACTTAACCACTGAGCTGCATTCCCAGCCCTTTTTTATATATTTTTTTAGAGACAGGTCTCGCTGAGTTGCTGAGGCTGACTTAGAACTCATGATCCTCCTGCCTCAGTCCCCTGAGCTGCAGGGATTACAGGTATGTGCCCTGTGCCCAGCACCATTTGATTTGGCTTAGTACTGTGCAGATTGTCTATAAAAGTTTTAATAATTAACCAGAACAATCAAATAAAAGATATTAAATAGCTTTTAAAGAACAGGAATCTCCACCATAACATTCAGTAATTGTTGGAAAATTATAACTGTATCACTTCTTCTCATTATTAAATAAAATGTCCAAAGAAAAATTAAAAAAATTTTAAATACATGTTTGCATACACATTCCCTCCATCATTTATTTGACTTGTCCTGATAATTCAAAATTCAAATTTAATCAATAAATATTTTTTAAAATCAAGTTTGTACAAAGGATTATGGTGTACGGAATGAACTATAAATTAGTATGAAATGTAATTCCTTAAAAATGTGTAACTAAATGGTGAGAGGAAGCAGAAGAATGTACAGCATTAAGTTATAATGCAGGAATTAAAATTATAATAAACTTCAGATGGTTAAAAATGTGGTTAGAAAGAGAAAAGGATGAAAGATGTTACAGAGAACATATTCAGGAAACCAAAAGAAGCTGGAAGTTCATGAACAATTATGACAAGAAAATTCTCATAAAGCTAAAAATCTTTGTAGGATATGGTTAGTAAGTCAGAAAAGCTGAAAACCTATGTCCAATTATGGTAAGCAAATGGATCAGAATAGTAGGAGAAAATAAGATTTGAAATGAGGATAAAGATTGCAGGCATCTAACTAGCAATAAGAAATATGAATTTTATTCTTCAGAAAATAGAGACTCACAAAAGTTCTGAACAAGAGAATGGCATTTAATGAATAATGGCATTTAATGAACACCATGGATTAATCTCACAAACAAGTAAGTTGCAGAAAAATACACACAGCATGCCGCCTCTTACAAATTGTAAATGTGAAGCAAGGCTATGTTTTAACACATACACAGTAAATGTATAAAGAAGGAACTACGGATAATTTGAACCAAATCCAAGATGGCTAGAGACTAATAAGGACGAACACAAGGGAACTTTCCCATGTAGGCAATTTCACTTTTCTTTAAATGGGTGATACATGGATTCACTGTTTATTCTCTATATCTTTTTAGTATGATGGAAGTAGGGTTCAAAAGAAGAGAGACAAAGCCTGAAACCCGCCTGATGTTTGTAATGTTATTTGTCTATTAATAGCACAAGAAGATCCAGAATTTAAGGTAGGGCATTGGAGACTAAACTGGAATAAAAGGAAGGGTTGTAAAATTTATTTAGAAAGAATAAAATACAAGAAATGATGACTGATTGTGAGCAAAAGAAGGAGAGTATAAAAATTAAATCTTTCTGAAAAGAGGCAACTGTACACTTCTCTTTCCACCTCCTCTTTAAGTGACGTCACACTGTGGAACCACCAGTACTGACCTGAAATCAGCCACAGTGGGATTGTGTGCACCATGGAACTCTGAGAAAGTGACAAATCCATTCCACTTTCTTGTTTTTGTTTTTGAGAGGGAACTTACCAACACACTACTACTTTTTTTTTAATTTATTTTTTTTATTGGTTGTTCAAAACATTATAAAGCTCTTGACATATCATATTTCATACATTAGATTCAAGTTGGTTATGAACTCCCAATTTTACCCCAAATACAGATTGCAGAATCACATCGGTTACACATCCACATTTTTACATAATGCCCTATTAGTAACTGTTGTATTCTGCTACCTTTCCTATCCTCTACTATCCCCCCCTCCCTCCCCTCCCATCTTCTCTCTCTACCCCATCCACTGTAATTCATATCTCTCCTTGTTTATTTTCCCATTCCCCTCACAACCTCTTATATGTAATTTTGTATAACAATGAGGGTCTCCCTCCATTACCATGCAATTTCCCTTTTCTCTCCCTTTCCATCCCACCTCATGTATCTGTTTAATGTTAATCTTTTCTTCCTGCTCTTCCTCCCTGCTCTGTTCTTAGTTGCTCTCATTATATCAAAGAAGACATTTGGTATTTGTTTTTTAGGGATTGGCTAGCTTCACTAAGCATAATCTGCTCTAGTGCCATCCATTTCCCTGCAAATTCTATGATTTTGTCATTTTTTAGTGCTGCGTAATACTCCATGGTGTATAAATGCCACATTTTTTTTTATCCATTCATCTATTGAAGGGCATCTGGGTTGGTTCCACAGTCTAGCAATTGTGAATTGTGCTGCTATGAACATCGATGTAGCAGTATCCCTGTAGTACGCTCTTTTAAGGTCTTCAGGGAATAGTCCAAGAAGGGCAATAGCAGGGTCAAATGGAGGATACTCACAACTTAAACAGACCAATAACAATAGATGAAATAGAAGAAGCAATCAAAAGACTTCCAACCAAGAAAAGCCCAGGACCGGATGGGTATACAGCGGAGTTTTACAAAACCTTTAAGGAAGAATTAATACCAATACTTTTCAAGTTATTTCAGGAAATAGAAAAAGAAGGAGCTCTGCCAAATTCATTCTATGAGGCCAACATCACCCTGATTCCGAAACCAGACAAAGACACCTCACAGAAAGAAAACTACAGACCAATATCTCTGATGAACCTATATGCAAAAATCCTCAATAAAATTCTGGCAAATCGGATACAAAGGCACATCAAAAAAATTGTGCACCATGATCAAGTAGGATTCATCCCTGGGATGCAAGGATGGTTCAATATACGGAAATCAATAAATGTTATCCACCACATCAATAGAATTAAAAATAAGAACCATATGATCATCTCAATAGACGCAGAAAAAGCATTCGACAAAGTACAGCATCCCTTTATGTTCAAAACATTAGAAAAACTAGGGATAACAGGAACTTACCTCGACATTGTAAAAGCTATCTATGCTAAGCCTCAGGCTAGCATCATTCTCAATGGAGAAAAATTGAAGGCATTCCCCCTAAAATCTGGAACAAGACAGGGATGCCCTCTATCACCACTTCTATTCAATATAGTTCTCGAAACACTGGCCAGAGCAATCAGACAGACGAAAGAAATTAAAGGCATAAAAATAGGAAAGGAAGAACTTAAATTATCACTATTTGCAGGTGACATGATTCTATACCTAGAAGACCCAAAAGGGTCTACAAAAAAACTACTAGAACTAATAAATGAATTCAGCAAAGTGGCAGGATATAAAATCAACACGCATAAATCAAAGGCATTTCTGTATATCAGCGACAAAACTTCTGAAACGGAAATGAGGAAAAACACTCCATTCACAATATCCTCAAAAAAAATAAAATACTTGGGAATCAACCTAACAAAAGAGGTGAAAGATTTATACAATGAAAACTACAAAACCCTAAAAAGAGAAGTAGAAGAAGATCTTAGAAGATGGAAAAATATACCCTGTTCATGGATAGGCAGAACTAACATCATCAAAATGGCGATATTACCAAAAGTTCTCTATAGGTTTAATGCAATGCCAATCAAAATCCCAACAGCATTTCTTGTAGAAATGGATAAAGCAATCATGAAATTCATATGGAAAAATAAAAGACCCAGAATAGCAAAAGCAATTCTAAGCAGGAAGTGCGAATCAGGCGGTATAGCGATACCAGACTTAAAACTATATTACAGAGCAATAGTAACAAAAACAGCATGGTACTGGTACCAAAACAGGAGGGTGGACCAATGGTACAGAATAGAGGACACAGAGACTAATCCACAAAGCTACAACTATCTTATATTTGATAAAGGAGCTAAAAGCATGCAATGGAGGGAGGATAGCATCTTCAACAAATGGTGCTGGGAAAACTGGAAATCCATATGAAACTGAATCCCCTCCTCTCGCCATGCACAAAAGTTAACTCAAAGTGGATCAAGGAGCTAGATATCAAATCAGAGACTCTGTGTCTGATAGAAGAAAAAGTTGGCGCCGATCTACATATTGTAGGGTCGGGCTCCAAATTCCTTAATAGGACACCCATAGCACAAAAGTTGATAACAAGAATCAACAAATGGGACTTACTTAATTTAATTCACATCAGTTATTTTCTTAAATAAGGGACTATTCTGTGATAATATCATCTAATAGAGCCATTAAAAATATTCACTTCTGATTTTTCTCATAAATTCCTGGGTAATAATCTGTGCAATAATTTATTTAATGTTGTATTCCTAAGAGGATAAGAGCACAGCAAGTAAAGGAAAAGTGAGTTATTTCTAAATAGAAGTGGCTCACCCAGTGTCTCCCATTATGCATCCAGACCATGTGTCCTCACATTTGCACTCACCTAAAAAAATAAATACACATGTTTTTATAAAGTAAATGCAGCTGCATTCAAGTAGTTTTTATTTTTAAAACAAACATTGTTCTCACGTTATTTTAAAATACTTTTTTTAAAAGTATGTCTGCTTTCTGGTTGTTACACTTGAGGTTTTCTACGTAATGCATGACAACAAAAATACACTTTGACCCTATCAAGATTATAAAATTTTTACTTAAAAATTTTCTTATAGCTAAACAAATGACCATATTTTTTAACAAGTCACTTACAATGACTTAAATGAAATAAAATCAAGTACCAATGAGATAGTGAGAAACTTTGAGGAATCAAGATAGGATGCCAGTTTCAAAGAAAATTGAGAGAATTATTACCATTTCATGTCCTGTTTTTTTGTTTTTGTTTTGTTTGACTAGGGATTGAACCCAGGGGCACTTTACCCTAAGCTATACCCAGCCTTTTTCATGTTAAGACAGGGTCTGTCTGGTAAGTTCCTTAAGGCCTCACTAAGTTGTTGACACTAGCCTCGAACTTGTGATCCTCCTGCCTTAGCCTCCCAAGACACTGGGATTACAGGGATGCACCATCACATATAACTTCTTGCCCACTTTTAAAAGCCTCCGTGCATACTGGCTAAGCAGAAGTGCCTCAGAATCAGGAATTCCTGGGTTTAAAGCTTGGTTTTCCACTTAACATATGTATAATCCTGGAGACATTATTCTTTTTTGAATAAATGATGCAATCATTTCCTCTGTGAAATAGGGGTAAAAATGGCATCTTGAAGGACTCTTTTGAGAACTGAGTATAGATGTACATAATATGGCTTTCAGTCATCTGGTAAATAATGAGTACTCTATGAATGGCAGAAGTTATTATTATAATTTTCTCACCATATTTATATTATTTGTTACTAAAATAATAAAATGAATATGATTATAATCAACTTGTTACAACAAATACATAGTATTTGACCATTAAAATAACTGGTGAAATAATTTTACCTACTTGCTAAATCTGGCATATTTACTATGTCTGTATTTTACTACTCATGTGATAAGGTCTGATCTGACAAGAACATTCTAATTCTGTGGTCACATTTAGAGTTGTTTCAAATAAATCAAAATAAAACACTATGTCTGAAACTTATATGGCTAGGATTCTCAACTAGAGCATCCCAAAATGCCAAAATGAGCTTATTTTGCTCCTTATTAGGTTAAATTCAGCAGTGAATCTATTATCACTTGACTTTAAGTGTTTATCATACAAGGGGAGGTTTTCATCAAGAATGTAAATATAACCTTGCATTACTTTTGAGAATAGTATTTTGTGTCCTGGCTTATTTCTTACACTATCACCCACATACTTTTGATCAAGCAACTGAATCAAAGAATCTTATTCTACAAAATATGTAATCAATATTCTTTGAAATATAACTAAACTAGCCAGATTTAATAAATGTTAATATTCAGTCCTTTATCTTAAGAAATAAAACATGACAGAGTTTTAAAATATATATATAAACCACACATGTACTAAAACTTACCACTTGCTAATTTTCTTTTGTCTGAGATAATACCAATATTATGGGCTAATGATTGGGCAAGTGTAACTGCCATTAAATCAGTTTTCCCAAACTGAAAAACAAAAACAAAAATAAAAGATACATAAACACAATCTGGTTTTAAGATGAGCCAGAGAAAAATGTCGCAATATAATTAGAAATAAGTAGTTTCAAAGCATTTATTCAGCAGAGGCTAAACACCTTGTACCTAGCACTGAATGTCCGTATGGGATGAAACAGCAAGAAATAAATCCATATTTGATTAGATCTCATAGGAAAGACTAGAATTCTAAGAATCATCAACTCTTGAGTTTGGAAACTTTAATCTGAGTCCACATTTCACCCAGTAATGTTACTGAAAAATTTAGTACTTGCATATGATCAAGTAAGTCTTTTGAATAACACAAAATAAAAATAAATGTGTAAAAATTATTTGGAACTTGTTTGTTTTTAGGTGTCTATTTGACACTCGAAATTCCCCCCTCATGGAATAGAAAATAGTTTCAGAAAACAAACATAATGAGTAACAGAAAGTAGTCATGATCTCTGGCCTAAAGAAATTTAAGAACAACTAAGGAATTTTTTTTTCAATATGCAGACTTCCAAAGATTGAGTTATTTTTCTTCTAGATCATTTCCATCAAATTAGTGTGTGTAGGGGGTAAAAGAAACCCTTTGGTAATGTTCCTCTATTTTTTTGTCTCCTAAAATTTGTCAAATAGTGAGGAAAAAAATATTGAGTTGCATTGTTAGGCAGCAATCCAATGCTTCAGGGAATTACTCAATTCTCTGGGAAATCATTCAATGATAAAGAGGGCCTTATTTCCAACAATGGGTAAAGTAAAAATTCTATGTACTTTTATTCTGTAAACTTCTTGATCTGGAAATTATTCTAAGTAGAACAGGAGCAGAATTATCAGTTATCATCTTCTGTTATTTGCTTGTTCTATCCTTTGGTCATGTTGATCACTAATAAAACAATCTAACACCTGAAGCACACGGAACACCAAGAAATTATCTCTTAAGTATGAGGAAAACATTTTCAGCCATCATACCACTTTGTACTGTATAGATGTTCACACCTACTTCATTCACGCCTCCTCCTTTCAGCAACGAGCAAATCCCACCAATATAAGCAGCCCCGCTCCGGCTACTCTCAAATTGACTTCCCCTTTTAGAAAAGGAAATGAAAAATGCTTACTGCTCACAGTTCAAACATTATAGCACCTCTCATTATTAATTCACCACATAGTACATTTTCTCAATGCATACAAAATTTCTATATTATATGTTCCTGAAGTTAAGGAGGAAAGCAAAAACTGTACATATAGAACCAAAGAAAAAGGTTTCTGAGGGACATGATCAATAAATATCTTCAATTGAAGAACAACTATTGAAAAAGAATTTCTGATATGATGCACTCTGAGAAGGATACAAAATCACTGCCCAAGATCAGATATTCCCACAATGGAAGCAGTCTATAAAGTAATGGGCTTACATTCTTTAAATGTGAGAAAGGCTAAGAAAATCTTTCTCAATGTCATGATCAAACATGATCTGTGATACTGGATGGGGAAAATGTAGCTATAAAGGAATTGTTGAGATACTTGGTGACGTTTGAATATAAACTATGGCATACATAGAAGTACTGCGCCTATGTTAAATTTCATGGTTTTATTGATTTACTATAGTTATGTAAAGCCATGTCTTTCTTCTTAGACAATATTCACTGAAGTACTTAGTATAAAAGGCCAGTGGGTAGGCATTTCAGTATAAAAGGCCAGTGGGTAGGCATTTCCAACTTATTCTGAAAAAGTTCAAGAAAAAAAAAATCAATGAATGAATGGAAGAAAGAAAGGGAGAAAGGAAAAAAATCACAAAATCAGTGGGATAAACATAAATAATTGATGAATCTAGGTAATGAACATGTGTAATTTCTTTGTAGTACTCTCACAAATTTTCTCTAAATTTGAAATTGTGTAAAAATTTAAGTTACCCCAAAACTATATCTTTCCTTCCAATTGTAGCTATCTTCAACAGCTCAGGCTTTAGATGATGGGTTCTTAAAATGCTACCATATATATATATATTTTTTTTTTGCTAGTACATCAAATATGTATATTATAAAAAAAAGAACACACAAGTTAGAAAAATTAAACTCCAGAAATTTGGTTATTTTTGGTTAAAAATAAACCAAAAACAGAGATAACATTAACATTTAAAAGGCAGCAACCTTAGGGAATTTAATCTGTTGTTAAAAATACTGAGTATCAGCAGTATTTTTACCAGTGAAGGCTGTGATTAAATCTCTTGAAAAATTAAGTGAAATAAATACGCAGTGATAAAATAGCTCAAAATCAAATCACCTAAAATTTCACAATAATTAAAATAATCTATACTTTAAACCTTCTTCCAAGTATATTGCAATGTCACTCCTAATTGTAAAGGATACATCTCAGTCACAAGTAATACAACATTTAATATGGAACCATAAAAAAAGGAAGAAATCATTGCAAAAGTTACGTACGAAAAAAGGTGAACTGCATCACTTTTCTCTTTGATAAAATCCCTTCTGTATTTCATAAACTCACGTAGGGTGATCAATGGATTTTCAGATATGGCAAACTTGTTGTCAGCCGCCCAGGTTTCCATGGCAACCAATACTATCCTTGTCTTAAGTTGGTCTTTATATATCTAGTATATTAACAAAATGAACACACCAGCTATACATGCGGTAAAATCAAATGGTTTATGAACAGGGTACAGAGTTCTTTCATGGAAACTCCTTGAGTTTTAGTTACAAGTATAAAATGTTACTATTTTTAAGGGTGATAATTTTTCCTCAAATTTGCATGCATTTTACTTGAAACAGAGAATCGAATTATTTACCAGTAAATACCCAACATACAAAACAGTTTTTAGTAAACATAAGCTCCCTTTTTGACAAATACTTGCATCCAATTCAAGGTTTCCCTTGAGTCCATTTTTGGGTATCCTAGACAAGAGAATTTATGCATTCTTGAGTTCCCCTAACAAAAGAACAGAACAATGCAGATTCTCCAAGGAAACTATTGCTATACAAACAAACTGGCCCTGACTAAACCTATGGGGCAGTACTGGCCCTGGCACTGCCTTGTCAGGGACCACATGGAAGGTGGTCCTGTGGACTGACTCCGTGGCCTCATCACCACAGCACCAGATACCATCAAAAAGGTACAACTAACGCTCTTCAAGAGGGCAGTTCATGTAGTCTCAGCACTCAGAGATGAGGTGGAATTATCACTAGAGACCAGGAATTCCAGCCCGGGCGACGTGGTGAAACTTGGTCCCTGTCCCACGCCCTACACCCCTATCCCCACCAAGAGGAGAAGAAAAAGTGGCCAATTTCTCCACCTTCAGAAGTACACACATCTTTGCTGGGGCGATGACTCATCCTTTGTCTTTCACAGAGTGAAAAACACAGGAAGGAATTTCAGGGCAGGCCTATCTGTGGGTGATCTTGACCACTTCCTCTTTCCAGAAAGAGATCAAAGTCAATAAATTCCATTGCCAGGTCACCAGGGCCTTTTAGGACACCTTGGCTAAAGTGCAACTAGAGCAGTGAAAAGGTAAGAGCCATATTGTCCCTTCTATGAGCAACCGTGTATGAGCAAATCACCGTGATACTTACTATATCTGCCATGTTCACCACAGATTTGGCATAGGTGTTGGTATGCACAACAGAAAGGCGGTGCTTTTTAAACTGAAAGCAAAAGAAAAAAGTGATGGGCTTTCGAAGTCATCAGAAGTAATCATACTACAGGGACACAGCCACATCAATGTTTATAACAGCACAATTCACAATAGGTAAACTGTGGAACCAACCTAGATGTGCTTCAGTGGATGAATGGATTAAAAAAAAAGTGGCATATATACACAATGGAATTTTACTCAGCATTAAAAAAGAACAAAACCATGGCATTTTCAGGTAAATGGATGGCGCTGGAGAAGATAATGCTAAGTGAAGTCAGCCAATCCCAAAAAGCAAATACCAAATGTTTTCTCTGATATAGGGAGGTTGACTCATAGTGGGATAGGGAGGGAGAGCATGGGAGGAATAGATGAATTCAAGATAGGAAAGAGGGGTGGGAGGGAAAGAGGGGGTAGGGGAGTAACAAGGATGGTGGAATGTGATGGTCATCATCATACAAAGTACAAGTATGAAGACTTGAATTGGATGTCAACATACTTTATATACAAACAGAGATACAAAAAGTGTGGTATTTATGTGTATTAAGAATTGTAATGTAAAAAATAATAATAATAATGTTACCTTAGATTAGGTAGAGGGAAATGAAAGGAGGGGAAGGCAGGGGATGTGGGGATAAGAAAAATAGTAGAATGAAACAGACATTATTACCGTATATATGTATGTGACTGTATGACCACTGTGATTCTACAATATGTATACTCAGAAAAATGAGAAATTATATCCCATCTATGTATGATATATCAAAGTATATAAGTTCATTCTACTATCATGTATAACTAATTAAAACAAATTTTAAAAATGCGAACCAAAAAAAAAAAAAAGAAGAAGTAGTAATCACCAGAGAAAACAAGGTGTAACAGAAGATCCCTAAGACTTCCTGGAACAAACATCAGATCTGAGACCTAGTTCTTTATCTGCCCTGTAGCCTGAAGCCAATCTCTTAAAAGCTTGAGACCTCTATTTACTCATCCATGTGATAAAGTAAAAAATTCACCCACTGCATGCATTTCACAGGCTTTTTTGTTTGTTTCTTTTTACAGGACTGTTATTCAAAACAATAACATGGAGGAGAGCTGTCTACAAATTGGAAGGCATACAAATCTGAGTAGGGATATGGCTAGAAAAAGTGACATGAACACTGCCCCAAGTATGAAAATTTACAAGTTGTACAAGACTTTTTCAGTAAGAAGTAAGCCCTAAGATAAAGGCTTTAAGGATATAGCTTACAGGCTAGTAAATCACACGTACGTTTTGTTTGGCCCCAATCATGTTTTAAAAATCAGGAAATAACATGGAAAAACCTGATTCTGGCTTCATTTAAAAGCAGCCTACCATGGTGATAACTGCAAGCAGCAAGAGGTATCGGCCCCCTCACAAACACTGGCTGCTACCCTCTCACCTCTCCTGGCTGTTTATTCCTGGGTCACTTCATTTACAGTATTCCTCCAGATACCGATGGATAACTGAGTTTGTAACTATTTAAAATGTTCAGATTGCATGGTCTTGCTGTTTATGCTTATTTTATAAAAATCCTAGGGAGGAGTAACATTCACTTTTAAATACAATGAAAGAAAACAGGCCTAGTCTGAACAAGAGAACATTACTCAATCATGATTATTATTACTATTATTAGCAACAATAATAAAGAAGAATGTTAGTATATATGTAATCATATATAAATTGATCAAATTTTCCTTCAAATACATAAAGTAAATTAGAATGGACTTGTATCCAAAATTAAGTCCAATTCAATCCTGAATATTTGTAGTTTAAAACTATTTCCATGGAAAATTAGCATTATAACTTACTGCCATGCTAAGAATGCCACCATACTGCAATATGCCCATTAATTAAATACACACACTGAAATAATGTGACTCAACAAGGAGGAGGCTTTGCCAGACTCCTCGGGCTCTTGATGTGTGCTTTTTCCATGTGATTTTCTGCATGGTAAGGCAGATACAGGAAAATTGCTTTACTTTTATTATGAAGAAGTCGTACACTGCAAACTAAAGTGTCACATAATTGATGCCTCACTTTTTTTCACATAAAATGAAAATTTTTGCTTTTCGTAAGCCTTGTCACTTTAGAGATTCAAATATTAGTGCCCATATTAGTCAATCAAATGCAAAGAGTTGACATTATGGGTCACAGAAATATTTTTGGAACCTCAAAAATTATTGCTAGTTACTTCTACCTAAGAGCATTTTCCACTTGTGGTTGACTGCTAGTTAATAAATACGTTTGGTTAGGTTAAAACCTCCCCCAGGACCAATAAAGTAGAAGAAGGCGATCAAGCAGAAGGGAGGAGGAGAGGGCATGGAGAAATAGCAGGGAACGAAATCTACCAAACTATGCTATGTCCATGTACAAATACACCACGATGAATTCCACTTATATAAAGTATAATGCAGGAGGGGAGGGGAGGGGGGATAGTAGAGGATAGGAAAGGTAGCAGAATACAACAGTTACTAATAGGGTATTATGTAAAAATGTGGATGTGTAACCGATGTGATTCTGCAATCTGTATTTGGGTTAAAAATGGGAGTTCATAACCCACTTGAATCTAATGTATGAAATATGATATGTCAAGAGCTTTTTTGTAATATTTTGAATAACCAATAAAAAAATTTAAAAAAATAAAGTATAATGCATTAATTAAAATAATTATAACAGAAGTGAGATCTGTCAAGTACAGATCAGGAGGATAGAAGGGAGGGAAAGGGAAGGAACTGGGGAATTAGATTGATCAAATTAAATTATGTACAAGCACAAATGTGGTATAATAAATCTCACTACTATGTATAATTATAATGCACCAATAAAAATAAGAAATACAATAAATTCTTAAAAAAAAAAAAAAAAAAGACCCTCTAGATTACAACTTGAGAGCTTTCTAAATTTCTCTTAAACAAATTTTTGCACCCTCCAGTTTTACCCAAGGCATGGACAAGTTAAAATAAACAAAAACAAATCCTACCATGAGGTGATCATTCACAATCATCAGTTCGATGTATTTGGTTTCCTCTTCTACGTTACGAGGATATCGAAGCTGCAGTGCAGTAAAAGAAGCAAAACCCAAATAAGCCCTTCTAAACTTAGTTGTGAAAAACTAAGAAATACAGAAGAAGTCAAAAAAAAAAACAAAACATTCGCTTTTTATTCCTTCAGACTTTAAAAAAAAAATTTCATCAATTTACTTAGTTTTTGAGTAGGTAATAATAATACATTTGCATGACTCAAAACCTCAACAGAGTATAAAAAGACCAAGCATAAAAGTTCCCCATCTACCCAGTTCCTACTCCTTCTTCCACAATCAGTATTGGGAGTTACCAGCTTCTTCTAGAAAGATTTATACATAAAAGATTAATATGAATCTACTTTTTATTTTACACCTCCACTTCCTTTACTCTCTTCTATATCAAGTTATTTTCATTTAACAGAACATCATGGAAACAGTAACATATGAACAGTAACATTAAATCTTTCTGATTTAATTTACTTTATTCTATAATCCCCAGATCTGGGACTGAGATTTGCCTCTCTCTCCTATATGGTTCAAGGGATCCCCCAAATGATAGAGGGGTTTTCCCAGAATAGCTTTTAGAGTTCGCAAGCAGTATCGATTATCTATAACAGCAGGATCTCTCTGCTCAACAAAAAAATTTTCTCTCCTTTCAAAATCCTGATCAATGACTGTGGCAGGGAAGAGCCACTAAGATGGACATTCCCTTGGTTTTCTATAGTTTATCTATAACAAAATCTTTAACAAGACCTCTAAAATTAACTTTTTCCCTTACGCTACGGTTCAATACCCGTGGTTTTTTGGGGGGTGTTTTTGTTTGTTTTTTAGCATATCTTTTTGTTCATTTGGCTAAGGGATATTTTTGTGATGAGGACATTTAATCAAACCCAAATCAGTACATGTATGTTGGTTTTGAGTGCTACATTTAAAACAAACTAAAAATATGTTGCCAAGCGGATTTCATTTCTTGCTAAATGCAACCTAAACATAAAATCTTTTTAAGAAAATCTCTTTTTGGTAGGGTGGAGGGTTAGGTACCTGGGATTGAATTCAGGGGCACAGGACTACTGAGCCACATCCTCAGCACTATTTTGTATTTTATTTAGAGACAGGGTCTCACTGGATTGCTTAGCACCTCACTTTTGCTTAGGCTGGCTTTGAACTCTGATCTTCTTCTCAGCTTTTGAAGTGTCTGGGATTACAGGTGTGCACCACTACACCCAGCTAAGAAATCTCTTATAACACCAGATTGACTGGGAATAACAGATTATATTTCTGAGACTGGAAACCAAAGAGTAAGATAAGTCTTTTTATAAGTGGATTATCAGGATGATAGGATCTGATTTGCCAACTATGTGGCTTACTAATTAATATAGTAGCACTTACCAATAAGACCCAACATTTTTTAATGTCACAGAGTTGCCATATTGGCTACATAATTTGATAGCCCCTTAACTTCATGGGTCTTTAAGAGAAATCAAGGGTTTACCTACTTAGCAAAAGACTAGATGTTAAGATATTTATAAAGAACTTTAAGGTACATTCTTAAAGAACAGTATTGTATTCTCTCAATTCATAAATCATGAAAACAAATATAGTTTCAATTTAAAACCTGATGGTAAGTATTTTATCTATCTAACTGATCCTCAAGATATATGTGTCTCTGTATCTGCACAACATCATGGTAGTAATGGATAGAACACACAGGCTTCTGAGAGGCAGTACACAGAGCATGTGTTTCTATGAACATCTCTGAGGCCAAACTTCCTAATAAGAATAACAACTTCACTACTGAGTGACCTGGGCAAGTTTCCTCAGCATCTTGTGCTTCCTTATGTTTTTTAGTGAAATAGGAGTAATAATAACACCTTCCTCATAAAGTTGTTATGAGGATTAAATGTGTTACAACAGTTATAAATTATTACTATAGGGCCAGGCACATGGAAAGTATTTAATAAAATTTAGCAAATGTTATATATGTAAGAATCTGTTTATATACATAAATTATTATAATAAAAGGAAGATAACTGTATCCTTCAACTGCTTGATCTTAATAGGTCTCTATTCCTTTACCCTGTGTAGTTTTCTGTCACATAAACACATTCACACACCACCACCATCAGTGTGTGGATATGTTGATTCTGATAGCCAGAGTTCTTTTTTTGTCTAAATCATTTACAACTCAGTGATTCTGGGTCTTTTCCATATGTCATAGCCATCTTTCCTTTTTTTTTTTTTTTTTTCCTGTGAAAGGGCAATAATAGTACCTACTTCATATGATATAAAGCACTGTCTGAAGAGTTGTGATTATTATTACTCAGTCTAAGGTCTGGTTAAGCAATCATAAAGCTTATGTCCTAATTTTATATCTGGATGCCAAAGTAACTTAAGTGAGAAAAAAAGGCTTTGTGCTCTCAGAACCCAATAGGTTTACTCTTACGGGGTTAGCTTCAAAGGGATAAATACAAGGATACCATTGAAGCAGCTTGCATGATGTGGTGCACATCTGGGCAGGGAAGAGGCCTTGTTAGGAAGAACCTGGGATGCTGCCACCCGGGACCTTGTAGCTCATTTACCTGATGAAGAACTAAATTATCACCACTATTTTGAATCCTTTTTGAAACTATACAATAATATGGTCCATTTTTACTGTTTCTCCACATCTGTCACCTGTACTGCCTACCCCACAATGAAAAATACCTGAAATAGTACTTGCCCTCTCACAAAGACCAAATGTGGATTCAAATGATAGGTTTAAAATATTATGACATACACCTATGAATACATACCTGCCGTTTAATCCTTTTTGGTCTTGGTTTCAAAATAAATTTTGGTGGAGTGATGTTTACTTGTTGGAATTCTAAAAGGAATAAAAATAAATTAAATTTAAAAGCACATTTGTCAAATTTCTTTAGTACAAAGCAAAGTTTCACTTGACTCTCTTATGAATTTTATAATAATGTTGCATTTAATGATTATGCAGAACATTAAACTAATTGTGTTCTATTAGTTCTAAATAAATATATAGTAAAAAACACAATTCACAAAATCTCAAACATCATCTCTGTTCTAATTTATATTGATTATTTTCCCTGTTTCTCCTATAAACACCATCACATTCTTTATCAAGAATCTTCAAAAGCCAACTTGACCTTCACTTCTGTCACTAACATTCTAGGGAAAGCAAAATAAATTAAAGAAGAGAAACAATAAGAAGCAAGTAGAATAAATAATCACACATTCATAAGTTCATGACTTATTTAAAAATTATGATAGGCCACCAAAGTTTTCATTTTTTCCAATTCATTCACATTCTTCTTCACCCAGGGTTTGTTTGCTCTTGGGAGCAAATGTGAAAATCTGAACCTTTCTTAACTTGCAGGTCAGAATTAGACATCAATTATTGATGGACACAAATTCATCTCTGAATAGAAGATTAGGTTATTTGGGGCTGGAGTTTTAGCTTAGCGGTAGAGCGCTTGCCTCGTATATGTGAGGCACTGTCTTTGATTCCCAGCACCACATATAAATAAGCAAATAAAATAAAGGTCCATCAACAACTAAAAAATATTTTTAAAAAAGAGATTACGTTATTTGTATAGGATGATTTCCTACAAAGTAAAAATGCAATCATCCCCTGTGATACAGATTTCCTAAAACATTGATGGTTGATTGAACAACATGTAGCAGTCTGATGTGAGCTTCTTATGGGAGGAATGCTATATAAAGGTACAGGTAAACTATTATCATGACTCTTGAGTACTGTTTGTACAAACTGAGAAGTTCTCTGAAATCACAACACTGTCTCCAAGTATGTTAAAGTGTTTTTTTTTTAACTTATCCTATGAGTGAATTATTTTATTTATTAAAAAGTCACTATTTTATCAAAAGAATTATGAAAGTTCTTTTTATATAAACTTGTGGCCAAGATTCATTTAAGTGAATTCATCTAATTTCTTTCTCATTACCTTAACTGGATTGGTAGGCAATAAGTAATGAAATTGATTTCTGATTTTTTTCTGAAATTTTTTATATTCATGAGATAGCAAAGCAATCCTGTCAAAAGGGAAGATAATCATGGTTGGAGAAATCTGAGATAGAATGATAAATAATGAAATCAGAGTAAGAAGATCAGGATCTTGGATATTTATTAGTTCATTTTCAATATGCTTCCATCATTCTGCTTATGAAAATGTTTGCCAGGATACACAAGAAATTTAGTGAGAAGAAGAGTAAGTTCTTTCACAATGAGCTAAGACACAGAAAAACAAGATGGCAGAATTAAACCAAATCATAATCAATAATTACACTAAGTGCAAATAGACCAAATGTTACAGCTAATTGGTTCAGATGATCAAAACTGTATAGTTTTAAAATGCAAGGCCTAACTACATGCTGAATATAGGAGATACACTTTAAATGTAGAGTACTGAAGAAAATATGTCTTGCATATTTTAATCACAGGAAAGCTCTTCGAGAAATATTAATATCAGATCATGTAATTTTTAAAAATATTTTTAGTTGTCAATGGATCTTTATTTTATTTATTTATATGTGGTGCTGAAAATCAAACCCAGTGCCCCATACATGCTAGGCAAGCACTCTACCACTAAGCTACAACCCCAGCCCCCAGATCATGTAATTTTAGGGCAAAAAATATTATCAGGCAGAACAAGGAATATTTCATAATAATAAAATGATCAATTCATCAAAAAGATGCAACATTCCTACCAAAAACCATATGACTAAACTTTGAAGTGAGTTCTTCCAAGGCAAAACTTTAAAACTAATTGCTGACTCAGTTAACAGTTACACTACAAACCCATGAGAGATTGTGGGCCAGGGGCACCCACTAAACCACACTCAGATCATTAACTCTCAGAAATGGTGAGATAATAAATGTAATTTATTGGTTAAAGACACTAAATTTTAGAATAATTCATCACACAGTAACAGATAACTAATGGAACCGCTGTACTAAAAATGAGCAACACTAAGATAAATTCTAAAAGTCCTAGGGGGTGTGGTGGCACACACCTGTAATCCCAACAATTCAGGAGGCTGAGGCAGGAGGATCACAAGTTCAAAGACAGCCTCTGAAATTTAGCCAGGCCCTAAGCTACTCATAGTGACACTTGTCTCAAAGAATAAAAAAGAGCTGGAGATGTGGCTTAGTGGTTAAGCACCCCTGGGTTTAACCCCCAGTTCTCGTTCTCTCTCTCTCTCTCTCTCTCTCTCTCTCTCTCTCTCTCTCTCTCACACACACACACACACACACAAAAGTTCTAAATTATTTTATTTCTTATGATTCAAAAGATCTGGGTGGGGCTGAGAGTTTGTGTTTTGATCTGTTTTGCTGGTACTGGGATTGAACCCAGGGCCTCAGGCATGCTAAGCATGTGTTTTACCACTGAGCCATATCCCCTAAGCCAACATCCTAAAAGCACAAGAAGATCTCCTATGCCCATGGATTAGAAGATTCAATTCTGATATCTGTTTTTCCACAATGAATCTATATGTTCAATTTTAATAAGAATCCAGAGGATTTGCAAAAATTGAGAAGCTGGTTCTAAAATTGGAATGGAAATACAAAGGATTAGAAAAGCCAAAACATATTTGAAAAGAACAAAATTGCAAGATGTATGCTACATGATTTCAAAATACACCATAAAGACATAGTAAGAAAAAAGTGTGGTACGGGCAACCAAATAGAATGGAGTCAAGGAAAAGACTTATTATTAATAATTTTTGACAAAAACATCAAAGCAATTCAATGAAGATGATAAACTCTTTTCAACAAATAGTGTTATAATAACTGGATATCCATATTCAAATTTAAAAAAAAAAATTCAACTCCTACCTTTCACCATGCACAAAAAGTAATTTGAAGAAGATCACATATCTGAATATAAAAATGAAACTATACAGTTTTTAGAAGAATATGTTGGAAGATATCTTGAAAATTTGTGGACAGAAGAAGACTTTGTAGAATAAAGAAAGTAATAATTGGTCTGGGGTTGTGGCTCAGCTCAGCGGTAGAGCACTTGCCTAGCATATTCGAGGCTCTGGACTCAATCCTCAGCACCACATAAAAATAAACAAAATAAAACTATATATTAAAAAAGAAAGCAATAATCATAAAAAATTATGATGGGTTTCATCAAAATCAAAACAACTGCTCATGACAAGATACCATTAGAAAAGTGAATGAACGAGCTATAGACTGGTAAAAATATAGTCATAAAATAAATCTAACAAAAGCCTTACATCCAAAATATGTAATTACTTCTTGGCCTTTCGACTAAGATCAAGGAGAGAATATGTAAGTACTCCTACAACCCAACAACAGAAAGAGAAAAATTCTTATTAATGTCTAGTAAGCATATAGATGTGACCAGACCCCGCCAAAAATGCAAATTCAAGTAATGTGAGATACCACTACACACAGTAGAATGGCTAAATGTAGACAACAACAGCACAGTGTTGGTCAAGATATAGAGCAATTAGAACTCTGATATAGTGTTGATGTGAGGGTAAAAGGGTTTAATCACTTTTGAAAAAGGTTTAGCAATTTCTCATAGAACAGAGTTCCAAAAGTAGGATCCCAGGATCAATAAAATCAGCATCATCTGGGGACTTCACCTGAAATGCAAATTCCCAAAACCCACCCAAGATTGAAAACTCTCAAGATGAGAGTACCAAGTTAAAAACTCTCAAGATGAGTCCTGCAATCTGTGTCTACTCGGCCCTCCCCATGTTTATAATACATGCTAAAAATTGGAAATACTGTTATACAATTAATCCTATATCCTATGACCTAGCAATGTCATTCCCAGGTATTTTCTTGGAGAAATAAAACATATGTCTACAAAAAAGACTTGTATAAGAATAATCACAGTTGCTTATTTGTAATAGCTAAAAACTAGAAATAACCCAAATGTTCATAAAAATAATGGATAAAAAGTTGTGGTGTATTCATATAATAAAATATATTCAATAATTTAAAAGAATAAACTGTTACTTCTGACAACATAAATATCCTAGGCATATGCTGAGCAAAAGGTGCTGGACACAATATATGATTCCATCTATTTGAAGTTTACAAAATGGCAAAAATAGTCAGAAAAGTGATTGCAGAGGTGGAAGACACTGGGAAAGGCACTAAGAAGTTGCTGAGATAATAGAATTGCTCAGTATGTCAATGGGGGTGTATATCAAAACTCAAAGAGTAATACACAAGATTTGGGCATTTCGTTTTTTTAAAAACTGCTAAGGAGTCCACAGGAAATAAAATCAGCTTTTCCCAAACTGTGTTCTTAAGAACACTAGTCCTCTGATATGTGCCACGTAAAATAAAAAGTTCTAGAGTCAAACAAGTTTGGAGAAGACTTGATTATACTTTTATCTCTCAGGAACACATGATATAGAGCAAGACAGATGTGCTAAAATTCCATAACTGTTAAATTTCCTTCAACCTAAAATAAATAAGCTTATTTTGAGCTTATTCAACAAAAATTGCAATTTTAACATTAATTTACATCATCTTCTTCTAATTTATCATAGTAAATTATAAGTAATCTTGAAAGACCACTCTTAAAATTGACAGTGCCAATTTCCTTCATTTTGAGCAGGGGTGGGGGTGGGACCAGGGATTGAACTCAGGGGAACTTGACCCTGAGCCACATCCTCAGCTTAATTTTATATTTTATTTAGAGACAGGGTCTCACTGAGTTGCTTAGCACCTCGCTTTTGCTGAGGTTGGCTTTGAACTCATGATCCTCCTGCCTCAGACCCCTAGGCCCCTGGAATTACAGGCATGTGCCACCGCACCCCAGTGACAGTGCCAATTTCACATGAGAAAAGAAAACTAGAAATTGATTGAGACAGACCTGAGTTTACAAATAATAAATCTAAAAATCAATTACAACAGCAAAAGTCACCTCCAAAGTTTCTTCTAAAAAAAAAATCCTGAACAATATTTTTAAAAAACAATAAGTTTGTGCCATAACAAGCCTATAACCAAGTCTTTTGGAGGAATCTTGTTACTTTAAAAATTAATGATGATTGCTTCCAGTAATACCTATTAAATTATAGCTTTATTCTCATGCAGCTAATCATAATTTACTTTCTGGTCATATGGGCATAAAGGTCACTGAAAGAACAGTCTAACGAGTCTGTGTAAAGTCAAAGCATCTGTGTGTCCATTTGAGAATTTTTCAAAATAGTGCATTCTGTGAAATAAGACCTTGTATCTATTTGGCAGTAGGTGAGAAGGAAAAAGAACTCATTTCTTTTTAGGGGAATTGCAGGAGACCAAGGATGTATACACTTATTTCAGAGGAAGGTAACCACAAAACATTTATTTCATTTTTCAATGAAGAGGCAATATGGACTTCTAAGTGATTAAGCTGTAATTTGGGATTTGCTCTCAAGCTGACAATTTTTCCATTTTGTCTTGTGACTCTATCCCATGGTACACTTCTATAGTATCATTATCCAGTGCCCCACCTTATGAGCAGTAAGACCCTGGAAAAGACAAAAGTATTTAAGTCTCTTCTTCATCTATTAAATAGGGATAACATTCGTCTTACAGAGCTGTTGCAAAGTTTGGATTATGATTAATAACTAGTATGCTCAGGGCCCACTAAATAGAGGAGGGAGCATCTTTCTATCACATATTCAATGTGCCCTGTTTTCAAAGGAGGGAAACGAATGAGCCCAGCATAACCAAAAGTGTTGCACGTACATGATCTCCGCCCCACTAATAAGGCCCAGGTATGAGCAGCTGCTCTGATGACTTGGGTGCAATTCTCAAACCAAATATATAAATAAAGAACCTACATGCAAATAAAGGACTAATTTTATAAATAGCACATAATAATATAAAAGGTTAATCTAATTTTTATTAAAATATTGACTCAAAAAAAGAGATATGAAAATAAGAATCTGCACAAATAATTAAGAGTTGTCCCTTGAGGGGGAATAGGGATAGGAAAGGCAGTGGAAAGAATCTGACATAACTTTCCTATGTACATATATAAATATGTCACAGTGAATCCCACTGTTGTGTACATCCACAAGACTTGGTCCCTAATCAGAAAAGATACATTCCATGCATGTATAATTTTGTCAAAATGGACTCTACTGTCATGTATAACTAAAAAGAAACAATAAAAAAGACTTCATTCCTGTTTACTAGATAATTATTTCACCAAACATGAATTTTACATATTTTATCTATGCAGATCAATTCTTACTCTAATATTTCTCCTCTAGTTCCTTATTTTGAGTATTAAATTTTAAGTTTTTCTTCAAAGTGCTTGAGCCATATCTTTTCAAACTTAACTATAAATACAAAGCCAGTTTGCATTTTATTTTTCCTCCTATTGCAACTTGACTTTCCCTCTAAAAATGTCACAAGCAATTGTGGGTTAATAGTATTTTACATATAGATTAGTTCTAAAGTAGTAAATGAATTACTGAAGTTGTCCTTAAAACAAAACAAAAAAAAAGTCACTCTATGAGTAACATACCAGATGGAAGATCATCCATAGGAAATTCAAAGAGTCTGGATTTGTAAACTGAATGAAAATGGAAATCCTCCTGAAATGACACAAGCAACAGAAATTAAACATGCACAACCAGATATCTCTAGCCTCAAGCAAAAACAGACGGAACCCCAAGAGAACAGTAACTTGACTACACATTTCCCTTGGGTTTAAAGAGGCCAGAAGCCATTGCACAAGGCTTCCAGCTCACAGTGTATTCCCCCAGCACCAAAGCTATACCCAATTATAAATGCCTCACAGACAGAGAAGCCAGAGCTTACAGTAATGGAAAATAAATGAATGGACTTATCCCCGCCAAGGAAAAGTAAGACATCTAGGAAAATGGGTTAATGTTTTTTACAACTGGTTCCTTTCACAGATCTCTGTGCCCTTGTAAGAGCCAGATAACTTTGGTAGACAAAGACTGCAGAGCTAGAAATCTCTCTGGTAATGAGCAGCAGGATGACTCATACAAGGAGGTGCCCAAAGTAGTCCCTGCTCCAAAATTCAAGTGTTATACACAGTTCTCCTAGGAAGTAAGAGATTTTAAAATCATATTCTTCTTTTTAGAAAAATTAATGAACACTCAAGTAATTTCATCTGGCTTCATCCAATTACTGAAAAAAAAATGAGAATGTCATAAATAGGCAAGTTTCATGATATTGCTTTTTTTAAAAAAAAAAATCACACTTGAAATAAAGTGACAGGGACAGCCAATAGTGCATACCCAGACAATAATACACAATCAAGATTACTTATGGGGACAAAACAATGTGCATTGTTTGAAATTACTTGCCTCTCCATTTAACCAATGTTGCATGACACAAGAAAGAACACTTGTATGTACAGAGCTAGAATGAAAGTGCATTATATTTCTCTCTAAACTGTAGTCTTTTTTTTTTAAACCAAGGATTGAACCCAGTGACGCTTAATCACTGAGCCACATCCCCAGCCATTTTTCATATTTTATTTAGAGATAGGATTTCGCTAAATTGTTTAGGGCCTCATTAAATTGCTGAGGCTGGCTTTGAACTTGCAATCCCCCTGCCTCAGCCTCCCAAGCTGCTGGAACTAGAGGTATGCACCACCATGCCCAGCTCTAATCTATAATCTTTATTCAATTATTTTCTAATTCGTAGGAAATATTTCACCTAAAGTAAGGGAGGAACTTTGTCTTGGGTTTCTCTAAACTCCATTGGCACAGAGCCTTAAAAGGAATGAACAATGGAGAAAATTTTAAAATCAAGAAAAGAAAGGATTGGATTTTATCTGTACGGACTAAATGTCCCCCAACCCCCATCAATTCACATGTTGAAGTTTTAGAGCTGCCCTAACACCATACATGGAGATAGGGCCTATAAGGAGATAATAAAGGTTAAATGAGATCAGAAGAGGGAGCCCTAATTTAGTGTGACTGATGACATTACAAGGACAAGAATAGACAATGAGAGATGGATCGATCGATCCCCTCCCCCAATGTAAGCACATAGCAAAAAAGTATCTATCTGCCACTCAAAAACAGAACCCTCACTAGCCACCAACCCTGCTGATTTGGACCATGCAGACTCTAGAAATGTAAGAAAAAAAAATATGCTGACTTTGCCACTCAGTCTATGGTATTTTAAGGTAGACCAAACTAAGACAGATCAAAGCTAGAAATGGAGGCTTCAGAACATTTCACAGGGAAAGTATTTCCAACATAAAAAGAGAAAGAGACAAAATAAAATAAAAGTTTTAAAATCATGTGGCTTTGACTTATCTAATATTTAACTAACAGAATCTTACTGTGTTTGTGTATACTATCCTAGCCAAACAAAATATGAAAATAAAATTTAGGGAAAAAGGGAGGGAAAGCTCTCAACCAACATTTCCATTTGCTACTGCAAATAGAGCACTTACCTGGGCCGTCTCATTTTCTTCTGGCTCAATGAGATATGTGTGGTTCCCATCATAGAACATTCCACTGCCAAGGACAAGAAAATCATTAGGCATGACTATTAACTCTCATCTCAGGACAAGATCATTTTAAAATCAGCAGCAGAGAACCAGTTACTTTCAATGCCTATTTCCCAGTCCCATCCATCACCTCCAGGTAAACCACACATCACACACCACACATACTCTGCTAAGAGGAAAAGCCCCCTTCCTCTGAATCCCCCTGAAATGGGCTCTCTCATCCTGAAATTGCCATTCTCTAGTTGTTATGCAGTACTCCTCCCTCTAACTCATAATTCCAAGATTTTAATATACAAAAGTTCACCTAGAGTTTTAGAACCCTTCTCAGATTTCTAGGTGAGGACTTAGAAAGGTACATTTCAAACAAACCCCAGGAGATTCTGAGGCTGTCGGGACCAAGTTGACAATGGCTTCCCTACCTCATACCTGAAAGATGTTCTACTAATAAGAACTAACACATATTAATAACTTGCCATGAGCGAAATATTTGCACTCATTTAATTGTTCCCACAAATACATGAGGTAGATACAATGTCTACCTTCATTTTATAGGAAAGGAAACAAAAGGCTAAAGAGATGAAGTAACTTTTCCAGATTATATAACCATTAAGAATACAGGTAGGAATGGAGCCCAGGCAGCTGGGTCCATGAACTGCCCATTTGCAACCTGCTGCCCTCCTTCACTCATGCAGTCATTCAACTTGTGTTTATAGAGCACCTGTGCACTGTTCTTGATGCTGGGATATAGTAGTGAATGGAACAAATGAATTCTCTATCCTCATACTTGTTTGTTTTTTTTTTGTTGTTTGTTTGTTTTTTGGCTAATATGCAATCTATGAAAAACAGACAATAAATATGTAATAAACAAAGAAATATATATGTTAGATGGTGATAAATTTTAGGGAGTAAAATAAAGCAGTTTAAGGTCAATAAATGGTTCCAAAAATTGGGTCTGGGGGACCAGAGAGCAAGGACTGTTGATTTTTATAGGTGGTTAAAGCAAGGCTTCACAGAGAAGATGGAATTTCAGCAAAAACCTAAAAAATGAATGATCCATAACTATGTTTGTACAAAGAACATTTCAAGTCCAAAGTAAGAGAATCTTGGAATGGGTGAGGGAAAGAGTACCGTAAAATGAAATCAGAGGGCGAGTGGGAACCATATTAGGTAGACCCTTTTTAGGGCCTTGGCTTTTACTCTAAAAGAGGAGAAGAGTTAACCTCTGTAGGCTTCTCAGCAAGAGAAACACAATCTCTGCTATTTAAAATGATCATCCCATATCCATCTTTAAAAGTAATTATGTAAGTACTTTACACATTACACCAAAGTTAAATTACAGATGAATAAAAAGTACTAGAAGAGAGCATGAGAGAATAGATATATATTACATTCACATGTATAATAAAATTTCATGTTTATGAAATCAAATATGTTTCAGATATACGTAATTTCATATATATGCATGAAATTTATATTACAGCTTTCATATAACACAAAACTTAGAAGTTACAGAAAGATGAATACAATTAAAATTTTCCTGGCAAAAAATATTTTCCAAAAGCCAAATTGAAATTAAAAAAACTTGCTGGGTCTGGGGTTGTGGCTCAGAGGCAAAGCATTTGCCTAGCATGTGTGAGGCACTGGGTTTGATTCTCAGTACCACGTATAAATAAATAAAGGTCCATTGACAACTAAAAAAAATTAATAAAAAGAACTTGTTAAACAAATATGTTTCTCAATACATATCTTGCTTGAATTTTCACCAGTCTGTGACAATATAATCTAATTTTTTATGCTTGAAGTCTTTTTCTCTTCTTTGGTAGAGCTCTTTTTTTGTTGTTTTTGTTTGTTGTTATTGTTGTTATTTGTTGTTATCCTCATAAATTCTTTTCCCCATGCAGAAAAAATAAATAAATAAATAAAAATAAAATAAAATGATCATCCCAGCTGCTGTGTTATACTAATATTTAGAACAGCAAGGACTGAAGCAGGGATTACCGCAATACCCAGGAGAAAGAAGTTGGTGGCTTTGATCAGGACAGTAATGGGAGAACTGGATAGAACTAACCAAATTCTGGGTATATTTATTTATTTTTTAGCTTTCTTTTTTGGTTCTGGAAATTGAACCCAGGACCTGGCACAGGCTAAGCCCATGTTCTACCACCAAGCTATACTCCCAGCCTGGATATATTTTGAATATAGAACCAACTTGTTGATAGATTTGATATGGAGTGCAAAAAAAAAAAAAAGTCAGAGATGGAGTTGTCATTTAACAAGATAAAAAAGGTTACTAGAATAGCACAATAGGGCTGGGTCAAGAAAGTAAGGAGCAAGGAGCAGAACAAAAATCAAGATTTGGTTTTGGACATTTAGGGTGCATGTGGCTCTTTGTCATCTGAGAAATCCTCTGATTTCTCAGTTTCCACTCAGAGAGATTCTGATAGACACTCCTTTTGAAGGTCTTGATCCTTTTATTGAAATCAAGCCCTTTATGATACTAAAAAAACTTGCCTTACCATTCAGGCATTTGAAGAAAGCAAAACTGTGATCTGCTGCAGTAATTCTTCAGTTTGAGGTAGAAATGACTGTATGACAATCAGGCTCTTAGAATGGTATTTGTCTTCCATAGAAGCCTTAATGAAATCAGTTGGTTTCCCTGAGCTATAATTATAATGGCTTCCAGTTCTGCTTCTATCCAAATTCTTTCATTCCTGCTACAACATCTTCCACATGTCCTAAAATTTTATATATCCATGGGATGGCTATTCTCACATCTGTACAGTTTTTAAACACAATGCACTTTCTGAATTTGGATGACATTGCATTTGAAATTTAAAAATAAACAGATGTCCTTAGTAAAATAACATTGGAGATATATGCCTAAGAAGTCAGAAGGGAGATCCTTTCAAAACAGTAGACCAAATATGGTAGTGGACATTCTCTTGACCCCTGCTGAGAACTGAAAATAAAACCATCACCATTTTCTAAAGTTCACATGGCAACAGTGATTAAGTAGCAAGCAGATTATTTTGTTTAAATAGGACTGAGTGTTATTTGCCCTTGCATTAGGCTAACATCCAATATGAAAATTGGTTCTTTTTATTGAATCTAAACATTATGTATACAACATATGAAAAGCAGATCCTGACACTGTAATTGGAAGATACTGGTTTCCTGTGAAAATATGCCATTATTAATTCCTTAATAATCAAAAGATACATGTGTTTTATTTCCTTTGTTTGAAGATTGACACCTTTTTGTTATAATAGTTTAAATTCTAATGAGTATATTTAGTCCATAACAATATATTCTTGATAAAAATCTGTAGCTAGGACCAAGTCATTACAGACCAATTAAGCTAAAACTTTATAAAGCTGAATCAAAACAAGATTTTGGAAGGAAACATCAGCTATTCTCACAAATTTCCACAAGAGGGCAATAAACTATAAGATTTTGTCATAACATCAAACATCCTAGGACCAAAATATTACCTATTAGTCCTTTAATTTTTTTTTTTTAAGAAATGTGCCCTCACATGCTCCTTATGGAAAAAACATATGAATCTGATTTTTCCCTTTTTATATTCTTTAACTAAATACCATAAATCATAAAAACGAATAAACTTTAATAGGCACTTGGTAATATATAAAAGATAAATCATGTATAAACTAATATATCTCATGTCTAAATCACTGTAATTGAGACAACCTGTATTATTTAATGCTTAGTAACAAAATGTTCCTGAGAGAAATTTTTATTCAGAAGGTAAAATCAAGATGAAAAGTAATAATTAATAAATAACAAAAAGGTACAACATCTAACGTGCTCCAAAATATCAAGAAAGCCCAAACATGGTTTTACAAAATTCTGACAGTGTCTCTAGACACAAGCTGACTTTTCTGTGTTCAGTTTTGCTTAGTTTTAAATGAAAGTTTCTAAAGGTAGAAGTAAATTTTACTTAGTTAAAATAACTGAAGTCCAAAAGCAGAAATATGTGTTCTACTCCTGATTCAGACTCATTATAAAATTTCCTGAAAATAATTATTTCATGTTTTTTTTTTTTGGGGGGGGGGGGGACTAAATCCAGGGACACTTTACCACTGAGCTACATCCCCAGTCCTTTTTGGGGGGTGGGGGGAAGCGGGGTGTGTGCCAGGGATTGAACTCAGGGGCACTCCACTATTGAGCCACATCCCCAGCCCTATTTTGATTTTATTTAGAGACAGGGTCTCACTGAGTTGATTAGCACCTCACTTTTGCTGAGCCGGCTTTGAACTCACAATCCTCCTGTCTCAGTCCTCCAAGCCACTGGGATTATAGGTGTGTGCCACTGTGCCGAGTTCCCAGTCCTTTTTATTTTAGTGACAGGGTCTCATTAAATTGTTGAGTTTCGCCAAGTTGCTGAGGTTGACCTCTCCACCAGACTGATCTCTCAGGACTCATGCTTCAACTGCCTTAATATTTTCCTAGTGGTTGGTAAACAGCAAACACTCAATAACTGCTTGTGAGACAAGAGAGCTACATTTCTAACTTAGCAATGGAAAGAAAATATTTTAAAGTTTCCCAATAAAAAAATTTAACAAAACTAAATTATAGTGCTAACTTGTTCAGTACCAAAAAACATAAAACAAACAAAAAGGAAAAGAGATGATTCAGTTTAAATAGAAGGCCAAGTAATGACACATTAGTTTGCAAGATGTTGCAAAACAAATAAGTGATGGCCACCTGTGTATCACCATTATTGACAGGACAGAGGAAAGAGATGTATTCCCATGTCAAACATCAGAAAACACTCTGTGATCATGAAGGTTATGAGAAAGGAAGCAAGAAGGATGAACTCCGTTCTTTGGAGATCTCTGAGAATTGACGGATCCTCCCACAATAGCTATGAGGTAGGTGGAATTCTGGCAGAAAAAAAAAAAAGGGCTCTTGAGGTCACTTGCAGCCTTCTGTCTTTATGCAAGGAGCCCAGAGTTTCCATTTACTGAAATTTCCATTATTCCATGAACATATAAAAACTGATATGAAGGAGGAGTGGGGTAAAACTGGTACCAAGGGGCTAAAAATCTACAGAAACTGAAGTTACCAAACCACTCCTGTCGGAATTTGGATGAAACCAGAAAAATGTTCCCTGTATCACTGTTGGGCATCATATTTATAATTCCAAAGCCTCTGGTTTCTATAATTTTAATTTTATTTTTTTTATTTTTAAAAAAATACTTATTTTTTAGTTGTAGTTGGACACAATACTTTCGTTTTATTTATTTATTTTTATGTGGTGCTGAGGATAGAACCCAGGGCCTCACACGCTAGGGGAGTGCTCTACCACTGAGCCACAAGCCAGCCCCCAATAACTTTAATTTTAAAATTTCCTTAGTTTAAACACCACACATACACACACACACACAATTATCACTAATTTAAAATTATTTCTTAAAATAAAATAGAAACTTCTATTTAAAATTTTAAAATATATATATATTGAAAGAATGAATGAAAAGTAAACTTTTGGACACTTACTGAAGTCCATGACATGTTGACAATGCAACAAATGAGACAGGATTTCCTCGGATCTGGCCCTGGTAGTAACAGTGCTCTCCTCCCTGAAAACAGAAACAGAGGACGAGGAGAACCAGCAGCATCATTTCAGTAGAGGTTTCTGCTCTCACTGCACTTGCATGTACCATAAAGTTCTATGCAATATGTCATTATTCAGATTAGCATTATCAAACCACTTCTAACAGAATTATTCAGAAATATTCCTAATGAGATGACTTCAAACCCAAAGAGAGGGAAGTAAAAGTTGACTTCATTTTCTTTTTATGTATGTGGTAGCAGAGAACAAAGAAACAGATATTAAAATACATACATGTTCCATGCAACAAAGTAAGTTTAATCATCTAGTTCCCGAGTTATGAGATATTCAACCTCAAGCAGCAGTAAAGGAATGCTTTCACATGGAGCTAAGTAAAATGGACTATAAATTATGTAAGAGTTACTAAATTATAAAGATGGAGAAAAAAATGACTGTTTTTATGATGTTTATCTCAAAACTTGACTGCTACACATCAAAAAAAGAAACTATATATCAATATTTTTGATGAATATAGATGCAAAATCCTCAACAAAATATCTGTAAATCAAATTCAATAGCAGGGTGAAAGATCCTACATCATGATCAATCAAGTAATCCCTGGCTTCATTCCAGGGATTCAAGGTTGGTTTAACATATGCAAATCAGTAAATGTAACTCACTACATAGACAGAATCAAGGATAAAAGTCACATGATCATCTCAATAGCTGCAGAGAAAGCATTTAATAAAATCCACCATTTCTTCATGATAAAAATCCTGAATAAGCTAGGTATAGAAGGCTCATTCCTCAACATAATAAAGGTTACACATGACAAATCATAGTCAGCATCATACTGAATGAGGAAAATTGAAAGCATTTCTTCCAAATCAAAAACAAGGCAAAGGTGTCCACTCTCACCACTCTTACTCAACATAGTACTGGAAACTTTAGTCATATAAGGAAAAAAAATAAAAGAAAAACAAATAGGAACAGAGGAAATCATATTATTCCTAATTGCAGATGATATGATTCTATATCTAGGAAATGCTAAAAAGTCCACCAAAATTTCTTAGAACTGAAAAATAAATTCAGTAAAGTAGCAGGATACAAAATCAAAATACAAAAATTAGCACCTTTTCTATACACCAATAATAAACTCACTGAAAAAAAATCAGGAAAATAATCCTATGTGCAACACTTCAAGAAAATAAAACAAAATATCTAGAAATAAATCTAACAATGTGAAAGACCTCTACAATGAAAATTGTAAAACACTGAAGAAAGAAATTAGACACCAAAAAGTGGAAAGACCTCCCATAATCATGAACTGGGAGAATGAAGATGGTTAAAAAGGTCATACCACCAAAAATGATCTACAGAGTCAACACAATCCCCATCAAAATACCAATAACATTCTTCACCAAACTAAAAAAGGCAATCCTAAAATTCATTGCCAAAGCAATCCTGAGCAAAAAGAACAATACTGGAGCCATCAAATACCCAATATCAAAATACGCTATCAGCCACTATAAGAAAAACAGTATGGTACTGGCATTGAAAAAAAAAAAAAGACATAAAGACCAATAGAATAGATGGGAGGGCCTAAGAACAAACCCACACATCTATGTTCATATAATTATTAACAGAAGAATGAAAAACCTATGTTGGAGAAAAGACAGCCTCTTCAATAAATGGTGCTAGAAAAATTGAATATCTGCAAGCAGAAAATTGAAACTACAGCCCTATCTCTCACCCAGTATAAAAATCAATTCAAAATGGATCAAAGACCTTAAGGTAAGAACTGAAACTTGGGAACTACTAAAAGAAAACAGAGAGGAAACACTTCAAGATATAAGCATAAACAATGATTTCCTGAACAAGACTATAGTTCAGAAAATAACAGCAAGAATTCACAAATGGGATTATGTCAAATTAAATAGCTTCTGCATAACAAAGGAAACAATCTACAGAGTAAAGGAACAGGTTAAAGAATGGGAGAAAATCTTTTCCAGCTGTTCAGCTGACAGAGAATTATTACCCAGAGCATATAAATAACTCAAAAAATGTAACACCAAAAGAACAAGTAATCCAATCAATAAATGAAAAAATGACCTGAATAGACACCTCAAAGGAAGCACAAATGACCAATTAAGTGAAAAAGTACTCAATGTCTTTATCCATCAGGGAAACTCAAATCAAAACTATACTGAGATTTCATTCAGAATGGCTATTATCAAGAAAGTAAAAAATAACAAACACAGGTAAGGACATTGTGGGTGGCAGAGGGGAAGGAACCCCGAGACACTGTTTGTGGGAATGTTAACTAGTACAACTACTATGGAAATCAGTATGTAGGTTCCTCAAAAAAACAAAAATAGAATCACCATATGATCCATTTCTACCACTGCTTGGTATACACCTGAAGGAACTAAAGTCAGCACACAATAGAGATATCTGGATACCTATGTTCATCACAGCACTAGTCAAGTTATGGAATCAGCCTGGATGCCCATCAGTGAATGAGTGGATTTTTTAAAAAATGTGTTATATATAGACTATGGAGTATTATTCAGCCACAAAGAACAAAAAAATCATGTTACTTCAAGAAAATGAGTGAAACTGAATATGATTATGTTGTGTGAAAAAAGCCAGAGTCAGACAAGTATCACATATTTTCTCCCATACATAGAATCTGGAGGAGAATAAAAAGATGACATTAAAGCAGAAGGGGGGGGTCATTAGGGAAGAGGGAGGGGGTCAGGTGATAGAATGATAAAAGAGCATAATAGGGAGGGTAGATATGAGCAAAGAATGTTGTATGCATGTATGAAAATGTCACAAAGAATTAACATGTGCTAGTAATTAAAATATTAGAAAAAAATTGACTGTACCTAAGTTTATGTTATTCTTTTCTAAAACCAGGAATGGCTTTACGATTAAGCAGTCCAGCAGTAGGGTTTGAGATGGTGAAGTGTCTTCTATCAGACAGTCACATTAAATTCTATTAAGATTCATTTGTTTAGATTAAATGTACTTGGAAAAGAAAAGAGGGTAAATCTTTTGACATCTTACAATGTTGCTTTAAAATACTCCCTAGGCTACCTGGTTCAAAGACCAGCAGCGCTGACATCATCCAAATCTTCTTAGAAATGCCAATCCCAGACTAACTGCATCAAAATCTGCATTTTAACAAGGTCCCTAGGCACATTAAATTTTGAGAAGCTCTGCTCTAAATGACCTTTTCCCATTCTCCTACTAAGCTCCTATTTCTTCAGTAGTTGAAAGCTTATAATTAAATTGACTCATTGAGACAAGAAAAAATAAAAGAGGAAGGACTGATAGAATGGGTAGTTAAAGGGGAAAATAAATGTTACCTACTTTAATCTGGTTTAAGTGCTAATCCTACTTCAAATATTCAGTGCTTGACAAGAAAAGGGGAGAGAACAGAAAAAAAAATGAAGATTTAACAAGTCCAAAGACATTTTCTTTACCAGAATTCCAAGGAAAACAGCCTGTCCTGAGACTAACGTTGTTCATGAGATAATTCCATAAGAGTTGATGAGTCTCAATTTTGAGGAGGGAGTGGAGAGCAGATTAAATCCTACACAACGCAATCCCTGGCCCTGTAATACCTCTAAAAGCCCAGAGGAGTCACTGAGCACCGTGAACCAAGGAGTGTGGTTGGATTTAATGGAGAAGACAGAATGGTGTTTCATATATGGGTCAGACAATGATGGACCGTAGAAGGTCACAAGGACTTGGGAGCAGATAGGAGTCTTGACAAAAGGACATAGGACACTGACTATGTGATAAGAATTGGTGTGGCGTAAGTGTTGTGTGTTTGTTTTTTTTCAATGTTCAGTTTCCTTTAAAAACCTCCATCTCCCTGAAGGGCGGGTACAGGCAACTGGACAATAGCAAGAGATGTTCACCTGACTTGCCCTGATTGAAAGCTTCCCCCAGGTGCTGGAAGGCCCCTGCCCAGGAAAATTACTCTTGAACCAGCAGCTGGGTCTCCTCACTGGCAGGATCCGGTTTCTGCCATGTATATGACTGACTCCTACTCTACCTGTCAATTTAGACTCAGCAGAAAGGCAAGCTCCTGCCCTCGGAAGACCCAGACTCCAGAAATGGAGCTGCTGTTCTTGGTTCCAAAGAGGATGACACTGACAAAGGTGTTCTTCCTCAGCTTGTCCAATCTGCTAAAACATTCCAGTGATGAGGTTGCAACCCATGAAGGTCTGGGTGAGCTCTTCAGGAAAGCCATACTCAGCATGCCACAAGGACCAGCCATCTTTATCAAAGTGCTCCTAATAATACAGTAGCGCCTCAGACAGCATATCCCCATGGGAGTATTTGCATTTAAATTCATCCAACACAAAGGCACACTTAGGCAAAGAGGTCCTTGGCCTTGGGCTCAGCAGCCAGTGCCTGCTCATGTTCATCCACCTCTTCCTCTGGAGCTGAGGCAACTACCTTTTCCTCCTCTTTCCACTCGGTCTGGGGCTTCTACTTCTCTTCCCATAAACACTTGTCTTTCCATGGCAAAACATTCTCTTTCCATGGTGAACCCTTCTCTTTCCATGGCACGTTCTTTATAGGCTGGCTCTTTGCAAACTTCTTAGCATCAAACTGAGCCCTGTTCTCACACAGCTTCACCTTCCCCAAGACAGCCCCCTGAACTGGGGCTGGTTAATGCCAGGTAAGGAACCCATGATTGGTATTGGGTAAGGCCTGGTGGAAAGAAGGCTCCAAGACCTGTTTCTGGAGTCACAACAGGGTACAGACAACTGTGATGTCAGCCAGTGTCACTCATTCACCCAAAAGAAAAGTCCTTGTCTTCAAGTGAGCATCCAGCAACCCCAGAATTTACCTCACCTCCTCCTTTGCATTCTCAATGGCCTTTTTGTTGTGGTACAATGATGCCCAAGGTAGAAAACACCCAGGTACTGGCTGGGGGCACCATGTCACTATCAGCAAAGCTCACCCTCTGCACCACATGGGATGCTGCCTCTGGAGTACTTTTCT